TCTCATTATTGATGTTTCTCCCTTTTCCTCTCTCTTCCTCTCTGAAATCAAATCAATAAAACTATATTTTAAAAACAAACAAAAAACCTTATTCTCGCCCATCAGGCGTGGCTCAATGGTTGAGCATCAACCTATGAACTAGGAGGTCATCGTTCAATTCCCAGTCAGAGTACATGCCTGGGTTGCAGGCTCGATTTCCAGTGTGGGGCATGCAGGAGGCAGCGGATCAATGAATCTCTCTCATCTTTGATGTTTCTCTCTCTCTCTCTCTCTCCCATCCTCTTTGAAATCAATAAAAAAAATATATATATATATATTTTTTAAAAACCCAAAATAGTCCTAACCGGTGGATAGAGCGTTGGCCTGTGGACTGAAGGGTCTCGGGTTCGATTCCGGTCAAGGGCATGTACCTTGGTTGCGGGCACATCCCCAGTAGGAGGTGTGTAGGAGGCAGCTGATCGATGTTTCTCTCTTATCGATGTTTCTAACTCTCTTCCCTCTCCCTTCCTCTATGTAAAAAAATCAATAAAATGTATATATATTAAAAAAAAAAAGTAAAAAAAAAACAAACCCAAAATAACTTATTTCTACCTACTTGAAAAATAGTCTAACTTCTAATGAGAGAGCAAAGTGATAATTCAGGCAGAATAAAAACTATAATCCCACACACACTATAAACATTATTACCATAAGCTGCCAATGTGCAGGCCACCTGGAGCATTCACAGTAAACATACCTTAAGAACCACTGGTCTTGAGTAATTTTCTGCATGTATTACGATTATAAAGGTAACAACTAAATGGAAATACAACTTACCTACAATTCACTGTTGATTTTCCGCCTTCAAATTCAGAATTCTTCCCCCATCTTTTAGGTAATTCTAACACCATAAGTCCTTTCATTCCTATAAGTGCTATGTGGTGTTGTGTTGGACTTAATAAGACTTGATAGATTTCAAACAGGGGTGGATTTATGCAAAGCAATCTCTGAAATTAAAGCAAACTCGTCAAAATACTTAATTTTAATGTAAATATATGTGGCAGTTACTTGAAAGCACAGTACTGCCTTAGTTTTCCATAACTGTAGGGAATGAAGCTTTCTGAATAATTACACTCGAGCCACTAACTGAAGAAACAGTTCTAACCATTTTGATTGGAATGTGATAAAATACATCAAATTTCCCTATCTTGATAAATACGGCATATAATTTCCCTCTTTATGATCAAGCTCCAGCCTCTCACTTCAGCCTCAACTCTCCACTATTCCCCTTTTGTACTTGACAATCCAATCAGATTAACTTATACTTCTGGGTAATTATTATGCTTCTCTGTCTTTTCATAACTGTTTCTCTTCCTGCAATGCCCTCATTTTCCTTTCTTTAAAAAAATTTTTATTATTATTATTATTTTTTTTTAGCTAGCTAACACATTCTTGGAGGAAAGCCTCGATACACTTTCCTCCCAAATAATATTCCAGGGATAAGTGCATCTTTTCTGGACTGCCTCCTGTAGCACACTCTTATAGTTCTTGTCACTCTGCATTCTAATTATCCTTCTACTTGCTCATCCCATACAACTCTGAATTACTTAGACTGAATTACTTATGAATCTGTGTCTTTCCTTGCTGTATCTTTAGCATAATATATGGCATATTGCTAACTCACTCTCAATATGTTTTAGTGAAGACAAATGAACTCAGAGTATTAATAAATGATAATTATACATTATATTAGAAATAGTACAATAAGCTAGAGAATGGCTTTAAGAATTTCTGTATCAATAGTAAGTAAAATGGTGCTTTACCTATGCAGGTTATTGCAGTGTTTGTCTAGGCATCATATGCTCTCAAAAAAATTTCTCTCCTTCCTATTCTCGTTACCATTTTCTTTTCTTTCTACTTTCAGTAATGAACCATGAAATTGCCAATGTATCGCTTATCCTTATGTATGAAGGCTCCACTAAGCCAAAGTCCTTTCAGACAAGACGTGAATATGAGATTTCTATTAATTATTACTGATTTTTTTTTAAGTTGCCTTTCGCTGATTCTGTTTTTCCTCCTGTCAGTGGTTCTTTCCTTCTTTTCCCTATCTCCTCAATCCCCATTTTCTTTCTATTTGATTTTGACAGTCTACCTCACATCTAATAGAAGCCAACTTTCTTCTGCTATCCACAATCCAATTACCATAAATCACTTGTGACAATCAGGGTATTTAGGGGTTTTTGTTTGTTTCTTTGTTTTGTTTCTAAGCACCACTTATGCTTTTGTAAAACTTGCAACTCATGCTAAACTGCCTTTTTTTTTTTTTTTTTTTTTTTTTTTTTTTTGCCTATCTCAGAGTTTTGGATCTTCTGGAGGATCATTCAGACAAACACCAATATTTACTGAGAACTTGTATGTTCCAGGAGCTGAGTGAAATACTGGAAATACTTAAGAAAATAAGTAAGGCATACAGAGGTCATGCCTTGGAGTTTACTATCTAGAAAAGTAGACAATAAATATGAAAAATTTACATGTGACTGTGCCAAATGCAGCCCAGCGATGTAGGGTGCTAGTGGAATACTGTGTGCTGAGCATCTTGTAAGTTACTCCTGTAAACTGAAACATTAAAGTTAGTAGACTGTAGACCTGTGACCTATTTTCAAAACTGCAGAACTTTATCTAGCACCTCTTTAATTTCAAATCATGCCTCATCAACAAGAATCGGACAATGACACACAACAGATGTGGCGTTATAACTGTTGCCCAAGTTTTTTAATCTTTAAAAGAATCAGTTTATTACCAACTAGAGGCCTGGTGAATGAAATTCATACACTCAGGTGGTGTTCCTCAGCCCCGCCTGCACCTCTTGCAGTCTGGGAGCCCTCAGGGGATGTCTGACTGACGGCTTAGGCCTCAGCCAGCAGTCAGACATTCTCACCGCTGCTGTGCTAGCCAGCTGTGAGCCTGTGCCCACCGCAGCCTCCCAGCCCACAGTTCCTGTCAAGGTGCACGAAGTGCCCTGGGCCCCTGGTATAGGAGCAACATTTTCCAGAAAGCAATGTTTGCTTACAGCAAGGATGGACTCCTTTCTCATCACACCCACTTCCACATGCCGTTGGCTTATCAAAAACAAACAAAAATCCCTTCCAACCTCGGGGATGGCCTAATTTTCTAAAAAGCAAGTGAAATAACAGGGGATTCCTCTGCTGTGTCAGGCACAAATGCGGTGCTTTCAAATCTATTACCCGATGATGCTCGTAACGATCCCGAGAAATTCAGGATTATCCCTGCGATTTGGAGTGTCACATCATCAATGAGGCTTCTTAGGACCAGCCTGCTAAAAAGAGCACCTACACCCACTCTCTACCCCCTCGCCCTGCTTTGTTTTATTCAGAGCCCCTGCATAACGATGCTACTTATTGAGCATTACCTCTTCCTTCCCTTCCTCCCCGACCGTGAGAGCATCAGTTCCTACAACTGTGTCGGGTCAAAAAAAGAGGCTACAAAATGAAATGGCCGAAACTGGTTTGGCTCAGTGGATAGAACGTCGGTCTGCGGACGGAAGGGTCCCAGGTTCGATTCCGGTCAAGGGCATGTACATTGGTTGCGGGCACATCCCTACTAGGAGGTGTGCAGGAGGCAGCTGGTCAATGTTTCTCTCTCATCGATGTTTCTAGCTCTCTATCCCTCTCTCTTCCTCTCTGTAAAAAATCAATAAAATATATTAAAAAAAAAAAAAAAAAGAAAAAAAGAAAGAAATGCTACAGCCCGGCTGGTTTGGCTCAGTGGATAGAGCATCAACCTGTGGACTGAAGGGTCCCTGGTTCGATTCCAGTCAAGGGCACATGCCTGGGTTGCGAGCTTGATCCCCATTGGGGGACGTGCTGGAGGCGGCCAATCAATGATTCTCTCCCATCACTGATGTTTCTCTCTCTCCCTCTCCCTTCTTCTCTGAAATCAATATAGTATTAAAAAAAATGCTACAGCGGAATGAAAATAAAAGAGAGACTTTGCCACTAGAAGCTGGACGTCTGCTTACCCTTCGTCTAAGCGAAGACGAAAAATAGCCAGGATGGGGAGGGAACAAACAAATAAAAAAAACTAGTTGAGATCCCGGGACGAGAGTCCTTTCCGCCATTCGCCTGGCCGTACCTGGTACTGGGAGAGGGAGGGCTCCTCCCCCGCGCTGCCGACGCCCCGAAGGCGGACCACCAGGAACGAGCTGCCGTCCGCGTCCCACAGGAAGAGCTCCCCGCCGAGGCCCAGGACCAGGTTTCTCGTCAGCGACTGCGGCGGCGGCAGCGGCGAGGAAGACGACGCCGAAGAAGCCGGTTTCTCGGCCTCGGCCGGACCCTGGCGTTTCAGTCCCTCCCGGAGCCGCGAGAACACGACGTGGTTGGGAAGCCAGGTCTGCCACAGCTCGCCGTCGCCCGAGGGTCCCTCGGCGGCCGCCATCTTGGCCCAATTGCTCTCCTCACTCCCAATTGCTCGGCCCGCCGCCGGGCGCAGCCAATCCGCGCCCGGCCGCCCGCTGCTTTGGCTAATCAGCGAGCAGGCAGCCCGGAAGCACGAGGCTGGAGCTAGGGGCTAATAAAGCGAGGCCAGCCAATCAGGCAGCGGCAACGTTAGTGGAAAAGCCAATCGTCACTCAAGCCGCAGGGGGCGGGACTTGAAAGTCGACTGGCCAGTGATTAAAGTTTTGGAGCCGCGGAAAAGTCTAGAACCTGAGAGAGAGACTCTGGCTCCTATGAATCTCACTGCTTATTGGACACTTCCAGCTGGGTAAACCTAGATATTCTAAGCTTTCCCTCGAGACTGAACTCCCTCAATCCGGGATGGGTTAACCTCACGGATGTCACTACCCCAATTTCCATCCTGGGTTTGCTTGCGCAAAGCTACTCCTAGGTGGGACGGCCAGTAGAACACTTCCCAGTACGGTCAGCAGCCGGAAACTACAACTCCCAGGATTCTGCGCGCCCGCAGGGGCGGGGCTTTCTGGAGGCTACTCCCAAGGAGGGGAGATGGCCGAGCAGTCTGGGTCTCCGCACCGCTCCATGTACAAATTGGTGGGCTCGCCTCCGTGGAAAGAGACATTCAGGCAGGTGAGTGTGGGATTTGGGGAGCTCTGGCTGGGCCGTGGTCATTCCCCTGATCTCCCCCCTCCCCCCTTACAGGATCCGCTCTCCTCAGTGCCTTCGCCGGGTGAGGCAAGGGTCAGGAGTGCCTGGCGGGTGGAGGGTCTCAAGACTTCCCATCTGTAGATCTGGGTCTTGTCCATCGCCCGGCTGCCTCCCGGAATTTCTGGATCCCCGGGTGCGGGATTAGCCCGGGCTGGACCAGCCTCAGGCCCCTTAGTTTTGGATTTGGGTTTGTTTTTAAATTTGAAGTGTGATTCTTGCCACCCTTCTGCACTCTGCAATAACAGCACCTGCTCTTGTTGGGTAGTGGGCACCGAGAAGGCACTTTGTTTACTGTATGCGTACCTCATGCAAGAGAGAAATTATTTCTATTCAAAATAAAGCGTCTGTTCAGGAGAGCCTCATTTACTGTCTTAGCGGAGTTGTACCTCATCTTAGTTCTGACCTAATTTGAACTCAGCATGTTTCCTGTAATATTGCCTATGGCTGCAGGAATCCCATAAGAAGTAGATATAGCCCAGGAATATAATCTGATGCTAGAAATGACCTTTGACATCAGGGTTTCTCAACTTGGCCATTGGCATTTTGAGGAAGACAATTCTTTGTTGTGGGGTGGTGGTTCTGTGCATGTGGAATGTTTAGAGGATCCCTGGCCTTTACCCATTGGATGCCAGTAGCCCTGAAAATAAGAGTTATGACAACAATGTATCCAAGCATTGCCAGATGTCCCTTGGGGGACAAAATTGCCCCAAATTTAGAAACACTGTTGTACAGTTTGGTGACTACTGTAGCCATATCTAGAGCAGCAAGAATTTGGAAGCAGTTTAAATATTCTGTTTAATAAGACAGTGGATGTTGAGCTGTTATCATCCAACCATTACAGAAGCTGGCATTGAGAGTAAAATGTGAAATACGGTGACCTGGAAATATATGAACAAAATATTGTAATTTCACCTATCTATGTGTGGATAAGGATTAGAGGGGAGTTTGCAAAATTAACAGTAGTTTGGATTACAGTTGATAATTTGTGTCTATAAGTTTTCTTTAATGTTTTAATAACTAAATCTAGGAGGTGTTGTTTGTTTGCTTTTTATGGAATTGCCTTTACCCTTCCCCTATACCTCTTCCCCTCTCCCATCTTCTTCCAAGGGATGCCTGGAGAGAATGAGAAACAGCCGGGACAGGCTCCTGAACAAATACCGACAGGCTAGAGGCAAACTGCCAGGGAGAGCTCGGAGCACCCTTCTGGCACAAGAGCTGATGGAAGAAGAATGGAATGCTTGGCACTCAGTGGAGAGCGGCCCAGCGGCCGTGGCTCAGGTCAGGCTGGGCTGTGCTTTCAGGGAGGGTGCTACAGCACCGAGAACACCTCCTGTCTTCTCTCTGCCTATTTCCCCGAGTCCTCTAAACCCATACACTCTCAAACCTACAATCGGGATTCTAACAGCCTTTAACCCAGTTTCTTCTACCTTTAACGTTAGTACCAGACTGTTGACCTGTTGCATCACTGCATTATTTCAATTATAAAACTAAAGAGAACGTAATTTTACTCGTTGGCTACACCCCTCGAAGTTTTGATGCAGTACTTACGGGGCTAGGAATATTTCTTTTTTTTTTTTTTTTAATTATATTTTATTGATTTTTCACAGAGAGGAAGAGAGAGGGATAGAGTTAGAAACATTGATGAGAGAATCATCGATCAGCTGCCTCCTGCACACCCCCCACTGGGGATGTGCCCGCAACCAAGGTACATGCCCTTGACCAGAATCGAACCTGGGACCTTTCAGTCCCCAAGCTGACACTCTATCCACTGAGCCAAACCGGTTTTGGCAGGAATCTTTATTTTTTTTTAAGAAGGTCTCCCAAGAGCTTTCTGATTCTCATCTCAGTCAGAGTTGGAAGCTGAGTGTGGATAGGAAACCTTTTACCAGGTGTCCAGAGAGCACTGGATTGGAAGTCAGCAGCTCTGGAATTCTCATCCTGGTGTTGATGTTGCTTTTTCACTCCACTCTGCCTCTCTGGCCTTTAGTTTTTAAATTTATGAAATGAAGACAATAATGTAAATATTGTGAGTGCTATATAAGAAAGCATGTGGGACTCTTGATCCCTAACCCTCCCACCCACTGCTGCCAGCTCCAATCTCCTGCTGCCCAGTTGTGATCATGTTTGTTTCCCGGCTAAATCTTGCCAGAGGCTCACCTGATTGGAAGGAGCACATGGGCTCCAGGGATGGTCCAAGGCCCCCCAGGAAGTGGTCCTGCTCCCTTAGCTCAGTGCAACCGGACTGTACTTGTTCTCCAGACACACACCTGCCGCTTCAATGTCTGCTGGACAGCCCCAGCCCTGCTCCTGTCTGCAGCCTGCCCATTGCCCCAGGCCAGCCCTCAGTGCCACCTTCCAGGCAGCGGCACTCCCCTTGGGTGTCCATGTGGGCACACTGTTTTCTGTTTTGTTCTCTGTCTGCCTGTGTGCTCATCCTCCCCTTCTCTCTGTCCGTTTTGTATTCCCCTCAACATCCAGTGTCGTGTCCTACCCTTAATAATTGTTCAATAAATAGAAATTGGATTGACTTGGGGGGAAAAAATCATGTGGGAAACTGTTTTGAAAACATCAAGGCTCTCTAGAATAATGACGCATTTTTTAGTAACGCATATGTGTCCTATTGTATGCCAAATGTTTGTGTCATATAATCACAATTAGTACTCACAATAACCTTCATGAGCTTCTCAGCTAGGTTTTATTCCCATTTTACAGAAGCCCAAACTGGGGTTTACAGGGGTTAGGAACATTCTGGCAGTCACATAGCTTGGCAGAACCACATACTTAGCTGCTGCCCTATATGATTTGCCCCAAGTTAACTGCCATTATTTTGTCACTGGGTAGTTTAGTCATTTCTTGATGCTTTCTCAGCATGACCACATCACCCCACTGTCAGCACAGTCTACAGAAGGACAGGACTGACTGATTTCCTCAGGTAAATCTGGATTCTTCAAGCCAACCTCCAAGTGTGAATCATCGTGGGGCTTGTCAGCTGATTATAGCTTCATACCTCTGATGGTCCCACTTTCTCTTGCAGTTGGAGGAGCCGATGGACTTGGCTGAGCTGGAGGAAATCCAACAGGAGCTGGTTGACCAAGGTGACCTCTGAGAGTGGTCTTTCCTGCCTGTACCTAGCCACTCTAATGCTGACCTTTATTCTAAACAGAATTAGTTCTTAACTTCTACTTCTGCCTGCAGTCAAGCATCCAGCAGTCTCTGCTTTTACTCTGAAGTCTTGACTGGCTGTCTTCCTAGTAATAAGAGTCTTAAGTATGCTAGGTCTTGTGCTCAGACTTCTCATTCCATAAGAAGTCTTTATAGCTTACAACTACCCTACAAGGTAATAGGAGACAGAAGAGAGTGCCATCTCACACAGGTTGAACAGCTAGTGGTGGAGTTGGGAAGCAATATAAATTTTGTGAGTCCAGTTTCCATGCTTATTCTACTATCCTACAGTACCTCTCTCTATTACTAGATGAATAGTAATCCTATACCCTGTAGGATACAGTGCAGCGTCATCTCTCTTGCACAACTTAAGTGCCTTCTCTCTGATCCAGTCTTTACTGACTATCCAGAGTCTTGTGAGCATCTTCTCCCTGAGGCATTCATAGAACCGTACAGTGCACAATTTAGCACCTTACAGAATTTATTCATTTCACAGTTCCCTTTCTTGAGTAGGCTCAGTGTTTATCATCTATAAAATAGAAATAATAGGCCTGCCCTATAAGTTTGCGTGTGTGGAAACTTATGTTTAATAATAGATGTAGAAGACATAGAGAAGTGTATGGCATGTTGAAAGCTCTCAACAAACGAGATGTAAGACCATGGACTCTTGAGCTTGGCTGCTGAGGTTCATTTCTGAGCTTTACCACTTTCACTGGTACAGCACTGGGCAAAGCACTTAATCGCCCCATGCCTCAGTTTCCTCATCTTTAAAGTAAACATAATAACAGTAAACAAGTTAATATGTGAAAAGTTCTTACATTAGCATTTGACAAATTGTAAGTGCTATGCAAGTGTTAGTTGTTATGATTAGTATTGATTCCAGTTAGACTGTAGATTTTTTAAATTTTTTTATTGATTCACCCTCACCTTCACCTGCAAAACATATCTTAGTGTGAAACCTAAGATTCACTAAATATTTTTGGGGGGGTATGTTTAACTAAATAATCTGAAGTGATTAGGATTCACTGTGTTCTGCCCATACTCAGTCAGATGGAACACACTAGAACAGAGATTGACAAACTTCCTGTGGAGGTCCAGAGAGTAAATATTTTATGCTTTGTGGTCCATGCTTTCTCTGTTGCAACTCCTCAGTTCTGCTGTTATAGTGTGGAAATAGTCAGACAATATATAAACACACGAGCCTGGCTATTTTCCAATTAACTTTATTTAACTGGAAGTTGGGCTGGATATGGCCCATGGCTGTGGTTTACTGACCCCTGAGCTAAAGTCTAGACTGTGAGCTCATCAAGAGCTGGACCAGTCTTTTTCACCTTTGCATCCGATGCCGGCCACATCCCAGGTATTGTTGCATATTTGCTGAATGAATGAACACAAAAGATTCTGAACAACACAGACTCTGAGCATAGGGACATTGGGGGACAGATCATTTTAGACTCAGCCAGGGGATGGGATGGGGTGGGGGTGCGCAGCATCAGAAAGAAGTGCCCTGTACGTGTCAGGTTTCTCCAGCTGCCCCTGGAACCCCAACTGACAGCGTACATCCATCTACTCTCTGGCCTCCGGTGATGTGTGTGAAAGTCCTCTCCTTGTCCCTTAGCCTCTCACTTCACCTCTTTTGCTCACAAAGTGAGGTCAGACAGGAGGGGAGGAATCCAACAAGAGGAAGCCTGGCGGAAGAGTGATATCTAGTGGTTGGTAGCATGATTTTACCTGAATTTCTCCCAGGTGGATGAAGCCTTTGAGGGTGAGGTTAGCACTAAAGACAGGACAGCGGGGTGCAGCGTGGTGAAGCATCCACCTGTCCACTGCCTTGCAGAACAGTCCATCATCAGTGAATACGAGAACAGCTTGCAGTTTGATGAGCAGTGTCTCAGCATCATCCTGGCCGAGTGGGAAGCAAACTCCCCCATCTGCCCTGTGTGTACGAAGTAAGTTTTCCAAACCTTTCAGCATTATTGATTCCCACCCTCCACTCCACAATGAGTGGAATTCCCCCTCCGCTGGCCATGAAGCTCTGGGATCCTAATTCTGCCTCTAGGTACAACCTGAGAATAACCAGCGGTGTGGTCATGTGTCAGTGTGGCCTGTACATCCCGTCTCATGTAAGTGTTACACGCCCAGACTTTGTGTCACCTTTGTCCACATGTATCCGTTTACCTGAAGACCCTTCAGCAGTGTGCTGGAGCTGACTGCACATCTTCTCCCAGCTCGTGTTCAGTTCACATTGGTAGCTTGAAGATACACCTACACTCAGAATTTAAGCTTCCGTGATCTTAAAATACAGAAGGAGCCCCCTTATCTGACATGACAGAGACTGAAAGTTTGATTAGAGTGGTACATTATCAAAATGAGACATTTATAGTAAGTTTCAAGTATGTAAATTTATTTGCCAGTCTTTGAGTGGGGCTCTGCTGACTGGAGAGCTGAGTTCTTTACAAACCACTCTTACAGTGCATTGCCTAGAGCGTCTAGTTTGTTTCTGAAAAGTGCATTGAGAAGATGAGTGTACAACTTTAGGATTTTCCTCCCTATATTTTATTTAACAGCTTTATTCAACAACTCATCTTTTTGAGTTTCCTAAACATCCCACTTATTACTACAAAAAAGAAAACTTTGTTTTCTTTCTCTTATTTAACATAGGATGTAATTACTCAGTTACAGTAGCACATTCATTTAGCACAGACAGATCTGGGGCCACGCGGTGCTGGCTCTCGGAGGGGATACATTTGGCCGGTGGAGGCAGGAGCATAAGGAAGGCTCCGGGAGTCCCAGTGCTGTGGGTGGCCGGGTGCTTTACAGCAGGAGAGGAGAGGCAGGCAGGTGGAGATGGGCTTAGAGACCTTTTTAGTGCAATCATGAGCCCAAGAGCACTTTTAAAGGTCCAAGGATGGAATCCAGGCATCACAGATACAGGTTATCGTGAGGAATCAGGTTTTTCTGAGGATGATGAGGGAACTAGGATTAGGTTGCAGTCTAACCTTTTTCTTAAGTCTCCAGAATTGACAGAGCAGAAACTTCGTGCCTGTATAGACGACAACGTGAATGAGCACAGCGCCCACTGTCCTCACACACCTCAGTTTTCAGTCACTGAAGGGACAGGAAGTCAGCCCAGTCTTCTCATGAGCTGTCTGGTAAGCCTCCCAGGGGACCCCTAGTAGGGGCAGCTCAGTGTTTGGTCTTATCCCTGCTCTGGAGGAAATAGCTGCTTGGGAACAGGTACATGTTTCAAAGCAGTTTATTCTCTGAGGAGTTTACTTGAATAGGAAAGTGAAGGCGACGATCCTGTTCAATGACAAGTCCAGTCATTCCCTGACGGGGGCAGGACAGAGGCAGCACAGGGTCATGGGAGGTCTTGGACTGGAATTAGGAAGCCTGGCGGCACTGCCTGCTCTTGTTTGATTGGCAGCAGTGGCTTAAGGTGAAGCTGATTATTTCATATTTGTAAGACCAAGTAGGCCAGCCCGGTGCCAGTTTTACATAGGATACGGAACAGGAAGCACAGTAGGGCAGCATCAGGCTTGCCTCCTCAGCAAGACTCTTCAGAGGACCAGGGGCTACACTGTCTGACCCCCTACATGACAAATCAGGACCACAGGTGGATAGAGCCACCCTGGCTTAGAGGCCCCCAGTCTCACAGTAACCTAAGGCTATAGCTTCAAGGTCCCAAGCAGAAATCAGGAACCAGTTTTATGTTCAAGTGCTTCCTGATTGTTCGGGAGACAAAGGCTGTGCTGAAAGGCCTGAGCTGACTGTAGTGAGTGCAGTTTTGTACCTGCCTATGGTACCGCCTGTTCCAATCCCGTGTTAAGCTGAAGGAATCCACCTCCTTGCTGAGCTCTAATAGCTGCCAACTCTCGGAAGTCTGAATAACCTTTCTGGTCATGGGGTCCAAGGTGAGGATAGCAGGTCAGTCCATCGCCAGGATTTGTAGTTTGCAGGTACTATTGATGCTGAGGGTTTGAAAGGCAGTTGTTTTGAGACCACAGGACTTATACCCAGCCAGGCCTCTTACAGCTATACCAACAACTAATAAGTAACTCAGCATCCTCCATCGTAAGTAGTTTTAATGGCAGCATAAATGTGATTACTGATGAGATACAACTTAAGCTCCTTTCTCCATTCACATCCAGGCCTGCGATGCTCGGGCTGTGATCATCTAAGGCCAGCCTGTACTCCATCCCTCTGCGGGGCTGGAACCAACTCACACCGTCTGAGGGGCCTTGTAAATACCACCTTTCATTGTAACTTATTTTGTATTAAAACCTTTCAAACATCTAGGCTCTTGGTGTTTGGTTATGCAGTTTGAAGGAATACAAATAGCAAAGACAAATCACCTTAGAGATAAATCAATTTTTTATTGTCCATCATTATGTTATACAAAACTCTAGAAGTAAAAGGTTTGTAAAGAAACAAATGAATAGTAAATAAGAGGGCAACAAATAATTTAAATCTGAATCATTTTCCATGATAGTAGGGTGAAAACCATTTTAAAATACATGTTTGGCTTCAGAGGAGGTTTTGTTCGCTGGCACAGCCGGCCATAAAATCCGGGTATTCAGTGTCCTGTCTGTCCTACTGGCTCTTGACAAAACCTTTGAGGTCTTCCAGAAAAGTAATGTACTCCTGGTGCTCCAGGGCTGTGCTGAGCTCCACCAGCTCGTCCGCAAAAGTGTTGTCCACCCCCCGGTCCGCAAGGAAATCCATGAGGTGGTCATACAGGGCCTACGAGGAGACACGCCGGCAAAAGGCAGAATGACTTCACCCGTGACACCTGATTAAAACGCTTTTTTTGTCTCCTTGGACCAGGGCCTCCCTCATAAGGCCCAAGAGCACCCCGCCTCATCGAGCACTCACCCAGTCCAGGGAGTCCGTGTTGAGTGTGTAGTTTGTGTCCTTCCACTCAGACTCTCCGGTGGACTGGAAGCTCACTTCCCGGATGGAGAAGATGTCACTCTCGCCCTCTTCTTCCTGTCCAACCTGAGGGGGCAGAAGCAGTTGGGGAACGGAAGGGCTTTCCAAGACAAGCCAGACTCACGCACAGAAAGGGGACCCTTCGTACCTCATCTTCCGGGTAGTGACAGTCCAGCACCAGCGCCTTCTTGCCTCCGCTCTTTATAACTTCAACCACGAAGTTGGGAGTGGATGTCAGTTCAGGCTGGGAGACAAGGATAAGCAGGTTGCCTTGTGGGTTGCCTGGACCAAAGGTCTGATGATTCAGGGGGGCTAGAGGCCACTGCTGTCAGAATATTACCCAGCCATTTTCTAAGTCTGGGCTACAGCGTTGCTAATAAGGGCCTAGAATCTTTTAACAGAGAATGAAAGCCACGTGCCAGCTCCTTTAGGAAACTGGGTTGAAGTCTTCCTATTGATTCTTTCTAAAGTTAAAAGATTGTTTTCGAGGGCAGATCATCTTATATTCAGTAGTGTTTCACTGCTGTGAGCACCTACTTGTTTAAATAACATACTAGGCTTAGAATGAAGAAATTTGAATTCCAGCTCGAGCTATGTGCCAATTAACTTAGATGTAAGACTATTCCTTAATCTTCCTAGACCGTTTTCCATCCCTAAACTGCAAAGGTGGCACGAAGCCCTAAGATCTCTTTCCAGCTGACTGTTTCAGGATCCTCCTTCGGCCCAGGGCCAAGGCCAGTGCATTTGGCTGACTGGCCACCCGAATGTCTCAATAATCACAGCAACTCTCCTTTGATGGTGAGCCATCCAATGTCAGAGATGCCAGTGTGCCGTCCCCAGGGAGCTGGTTAGGCCTTGAGACAGTACTGTTACCTGCTTAGTCAGAAGGCCAGGGACTCTGCCCTCATACCAAATGGTTTCGAGCCAAGACACACTGCTTCTTAGAAGGTTTGAAGCCTGGGCACCATCCAGGTCCAACCAAGAGGGCCAGCAACCTCAGGAAAGACCTGCTGTTAAATCTGCGCAGTCCCCGGCGTTACCACCTTGGTTCAGTGGCTGGTTTTTGTCATCAGCCTGAGACATGTTTGAACATTCCTCACATATAAACACTCCAAACAATAATATCCAACATCAGAGATCTTCCCTGCACGGAAGGGTAGACAGTTCCAATTCCTTTCCATCAGGAGAATAAAGATCAGGTTCTTAAGCCTAGGCCTGCAGAGGGTAATTTACCCAGCACCTGGGAAACGGGCCACACTCCTGGTGCTAACGCTGGCCCGAAATGGCCGCTCTACAAGTCAAGTCCCAAGGACGGTTGTCCTGCCTTCTCTCCCCCCTTCTAGCATCACAGGAATTAAACACAAAAACAGCGCTCCTCCACGCCCCGGGAGAGCTGTGGGAACTGAGGGAAAGGCCGGAACAGTGCTAAGCTTACCTCCTGCTCTTCAACCTTCTGCCCCTGGGACTCCTCCTCCCCGTCAAACGTCGGTGGGATGCTGTTGTTAATGTTGAAAGTGACTGTGATCCTAGGAAGTTAAAAGAACACACAAGACAGGGTATGGTTTTAACTGAGTGTGAAGTAAGCACTGAGGCCTGCTACACTTTAAGATGCTTGTTGAAACAACGTCTCTATCCCAGCCAGCTTTACACTGTAATTATTACAACCTCCCCAAAAAGCCTGCTGCCTACATCCCACCCCAAGGTGGATTCAGCAGGTGTAAAATGTGCCTACTACGTGCCAGCTGCTGAAAGTCCAACTAACAGGCCCCAGTCTATCTCAGCCAAGCCAGCATCCCAAGGCTCACTGCCAGCATCCGTCCACTGGTTACCTCATGGCCACAGCCACTGGTCACTGCTCACCGTGAGCTTTCTGGGGTGCCCTCCGGGGGCAGTGAGCAGGTAAGCAGCTGATGGGATGGATTAGATGCTCCTTTAAAAGCTTTTTTTTTTTTCCATCAGAAAACCTGCCCGCCCCTCAAAGGTAAGAAGGAGCACTGGAGAGTAGGATCAGCTAAGGATTGAGAGCAGCCCTGCCCCCCCCCAGAAGGCTGCAATACAGACCCAGACTTCAGATGCTTGTGAGGAGTTATAATCACAAAGGAGACCAAGAGCACCGCCCAATGACAACTTTAAGGCGCAAGAACCCTCACTGGACAACTGACGTCCCAAAGTTTGAGTTGAAATTAAAAGTGACTGAGATCTGGCACTAGCACTGCGGGCTGTGCTACTCCAGCAAGCCCGGTTGGCACAGGGCACTCTACAACTGTGCCCTCTGGAGCGGCGCTGACTGGCTGCTTTGCCAGAAAGCCACTTTCCCATAGGAACAATGGTTTCCGGTTCAGCCACAAAGCCTGTCTAATCTGCAACAGTGCTGACCAAGGGGAACTCCTGGGCATGGAAATGCAACAACGGCTCCCAAATGGCTATAACTCACTCCAGGAAAAATGGTTTAGGTGAGTTACAGAATTGCCTTCCCCCTCCCCGCCGTCTAGCCAGCCCACAAGAAACCTGTGTGCAGTGAATGAACTCCGTGGAACTTGGGAAGTTACCCAGATGAACCCTCCAGACTCGGCAGGTATCAAAGACCTGCCTTGACAGGACAGGTTCTGAGGCCATGGCTTTAGGCCCTGGAGTCCACAGGCTCCCAGGACTTACTTCTCTCCAGCTACGTTCCGGGACAATTTGGCTTCTGTCCCATTCACTTCCAGATCTCAACCTCCAGACATCTTAGGAAGGGACTTATGCTTCTGTATCTTCTTCTCCTCCTTAATTTCATCGCTCAGAAATTCAACAAAAGCTTTGTCCCCTACAATGAAAATCCACGTTACAGAAAGAATAGTCTATAGTCAGTGAGACTCAGTGGTTGAGTGTTGACCTGTAAACCAGGAGGTCACGGTTCAATTCCAGGTCAGGGCACATGCAGGGTTTCGGACTGGATCCCCAGTGAGAAGCTTACAGGAGGCAGCCGATCAATGATATTCTCTCTCCCTTCTTCTCTGAAATCAACAAAAACATTTAAAAATTAAGAAAAAGAACAACCCATCAGTCCAAAGTCACCCAGGTTACTCTAGTCAGAAATCTTTTATAATCCTTCTCTGGGGCTTAGTCCAACTCAAATCCACTAAGCCTAAGTGTCCTTATCGGTATAAATGCCATAATACTATCAGTGGGAGCCGAGCTTGACTCTGGAAAAGTGATTTGCAACAATGGACATATCACTTTCACACGAAGCAAACGAGTTCTCATTTACCTTCTTCCTCTTGCTACTTTCTTTTTTAATCCTCACCGGAGGACATGCTTCCATTGATTTCAGAAAGAAACATCAATGAATAGACTCCCTTACACACCTGGCCAAGGAATACAACCGCAACCTGGGTATGTGCCCTGACCGGGAATCGAACATCGCTTTGTAGACCCTGCAACCCTCGGAGCCACATGGGCCAGGCTAACCCCGCCACTTTCTACCACGACCTTGGGCTTTCCCGAAATTACGTTTGTGAGAGACTAAAGAAAAAGCCAGACTAACTGCATGGCCCAACCCCAAATGAAACGGGACCAGATCACGCGTGCGTGTCCTCCTCTGGTTGCCCATAGCTGGGAGCACGCCCGGACCTCGCCGGGAGGCTCGGCGTGGCCCGCATCTACCCGCCCGGCCCCGCTCCCCGTCCGGAATCGGCCCCGCAGGCCCGGGGCAGAGCTCACCTTCGGTGTGCAGCCCGCCGCAGCCGCAGCCGCAGCCGCAGGGCCCGCGAGGCTGCAGGAGGCTGGGCCGCCGCTCGGACCCCGCGCGCACGCCGAGGAGCCCAAAGGGTCGGATGCAGGGCCGCGGCGCGAACTGCAGCAGCGGCCGCAGCGGGGCGGACGGCGCGGCGGCGCGGAGACCCGCGGCGGCGGAACCCAGCACGCGGGGCACGCAGCGCAGCAAAGGAAGCATCGTGGAGGCGACCGCGGCAGCTGCAGAGGAAGACACGTGAGGATGAGGACGACCTGAGCCCAGGAACCCACGAGCTCACCGCCGGAAGTCCCGCCCCGCCCCGCCCAGGAAAGCGCTTCCGCACCGGAGCGTCAAATCACCGTGGGCAGGAGCGCGCCCTCTGCTGGGATCCTCCGGAGGCGCAGCTTCCCCGCGTCAAGTCCGTTAACTGAATTTTTTTGCTGGCCTGAGTGTGGTGTACAAGGCTTTCTGTTTAATTTGCCAGCATCATTTCTCTCCAGTGGCTACTTACACTCCAAATGTCCATTTACTGTCTCAAAGCACCCCAGGGTGTCGTTCAGTGGGTCACGGGTTCGATTCCTGGTCAAAGGTACAGGTACCTGGGTTGCAGGTTAACATCCCCAGCCCCAGTTGGGGAGCATGCAGGAGGCAGCCAATCAATGATTCTCTCTTCCTCTCTGAAGTTGATAGAAATATATTTTTAAAATAAATAAAAACCGATGGAAAAATATCGGGTGAGGATAACAATAAAAGCATACCAGGCTTTCTGTTACTATGTGGAATTTGTGGACTGTACTCTTGCACTCTCAATAAACCTAAAGACCAGCCTTTGAGGTCATCTCCCTTAAGATGCCTTCCTGAAACCTCCTCCTCTCTCCCATGAAACAGATAGGAAATCATGACTGTGCACCTCTCCCCTCCCTAACACACATTTCATTCTTCTCTCCGGAGAACTATCTTGGCACTGCTGGTTTGCCGCCCCTCAGCCTATCAGTCCCTTATTCCTGAAGAGCAGGATCCCCAGTTAATTCCTGCAACCTCTCCTCACCATTCCTTCCAAGCTGGCTCCCAGGTTCTGATAGGACATTATTTTTCTAAGGGCACGAAGCTATGGCTTACATCAGATTTAGGTTAAGAACTGATGTTCCTACCTTATCAGACATATAGAATACATATGTATCAGGTACCAAAAAAGTAAGCCTTTCCCAATTCGTGGCCAAGATAAGATTAATACTTAATATATTCTAAACAGCATTCTATAAATAAGGAAAAAAGAGACCCAAGAAAGCCACACACATCATGTACAAAATTCTTTTTTAATTAATTTGATTGTCATGTGCAAATTTGAGCATTAAATACAACAGATGTTTCTGTAGAGCTATGTCTATTTAAATGAAACCAGATTCTCTAAGTATACCATAAACCTGAACCAACTTGATTTGTCTGTGTTTTTCTCTCTGCAAATTATGTTCTGAACAAATAAATTATAATTGAATCCTGCTTCCCCGGACAGGTGCAGTGTGCCCTGACATGCTCATGGAATGATATCTCAGATGCCCGGCCACAGTTCCAAGCAGTTTTTGGTGCTGGATTAAATGGATTTAAATAAAAGTTTTACCCACAGAGCAAAAACTTGTCTCCATTCTGGCATCTCTTTACAACCAGCAGAGATGCAACATTAAGTAAGGTTTTTAACAAGGACCAGGTGTCGGGAGAGAACTTTACAGCTTTCCCTGTAATGGGATTTGCGTTGCTCGGATGTTCCACGTGCCAGTAGCAGGCATGTGATCTGCTTGGAGTGCATCTATTCAAATGAAGCTGCTCATGCGAGCTGGTGAGTCACCCAGACATGGATTGCAGATAGGAAAAGAGGTTTTACCAAGTGAAAAAGAGTAGCTCAAGATCACATTGCAACATCATTGTGAAACATTTAAGTTTAAAATGTACCATCCCCTGCAGCTCAATATAAATAAGCACTTACTTCTTTGTAGGAACATGTGGAGTCAGAATGGGTTTTCCAATCTGATGTAATCCCTGAGCAGCTATGTTAAAAATTAACTTTTTAAAAAGCCCAATAAATAACTACTGTATTAAAAGCCTACCAGAATGTTACAGTGATAAACATATTTCTGTACAGAAACATTAAAGCTACTTAGAAGCTAACTATCCCTTATTCCTGCTCAGAAAAGAATATACATTTTCCAGAAACTCTTAAGGTACTTCAGTTGGACACAATTATTCTAAGTGAGAATTTGCAGAGGGACATATCGCTTTTTTTTTCTTTTTACCAACAAGATGAATTTTTTTTACTAAAAATACATTTTCTCTTACCAAGTCGGGCTAAACATCCTAGGCCTCTATTAAATAAATAAGAAAAATACACTTTAAAAACCTTCTGAAAAACTTTCCAGAAAGTTAGCAACAGTAAAAATAAGTCAATCTGAGGAAGAGCCTGCTAAAAGTCTAAGTATTCAATAAAATAGGGCAGCGATTTCCAACCAGTGTGCTGCAAGAATTTTTAAAACATACAATTCCTAACTATTTAGTCAGGAGAACTGACCTTTTCCCCCTTAGATTAAAAAAAAAAAAAAAAAAAAAAAAAAAAGACAGCAGCCAATACAATGGCTGTCCAGTGTGAATGAATCAAAACCTAGTTTTTGGGTCAGGCTGGCAAAAAATACATTTTTTGATGTGCTGCAGAATTTTAGTAATTAGTTCATGTGTGCCATGAGATGAAAAGGTTGGAAATCACTGAGCTAGGGTACACCAGATCTGCTGAATCCTATTTGGCCGAAACGTAAATATTTCTAACAATTAAGTCTCAAGTGCCTGAGCACTAGGTAAGAGCTAGACTCCTCTAGGCCCATCTTGTACTGGAAGCCCGAGCAGACCCGGCAGGCAGACACTGTGCACAGATGGGCCGGGCCGGGGAGCTCAGCAGGCTGGTCTCGGAGTCCCCTGGTCCCGAGTGCAGAGACCATTGCTGCCCGCTGGCCTCTCCATTTGGCCCCTTGCACAGAGCAGCCTGGCTCACTGTACTAATGACCAGACACTGCACACATGTTTAGACCCATTAAGCACATTAAAAAAGGGCTAAATCTTGGCTGCTTCTGGGACAAGACATCCCGTCACTTTTGGTAATTAAATAGCCAAGAAGGACTTTTAATGTCTCTTCCCTTCTCAAAAAAAAAGAGGACAGGAAGAGACGACGGAGAACCACCAATTCCCTCTGAGAAATGCAGACACTGAGGGTGAGAGAGCGATGGCCACTTATTAGGAAGTAACAAACCCAGGTTGCCCCCAAGTCCCAAAGGAGGAAAAAAGGTAAAATAAATAAATGTTAGAATATAACCACCAGATGTTGTGAAGGGTGAGCCAATGCTGCCTGGTTCTCATGGACCATTTGTCTCTCCCTCCACCCCAACGGCTCTCTGACCGCTGGCCCTGCCAGGAGAGCAGCCTGGAGCCGTTCCTTCCGCTCACACACTAAGCGGCCATCACAGAGACACAGCGGCTGGTGGGCCGGGGCCATCGCCCTCCGGGCCAGTTTCCCGTAGTCATTCCTGGCAAGATCCAGAAGATACACATCAACCTTCACCCAGGAAACGGCCACGTCTCCTGGGAGGGCAGGTGAGGATGTCTGCCACAGAAGCACCAAGGACGAAGGTGCTCAGCTCAGCAACCCACAGCGCTGCTTTCCTCTTCTGGCCTCGCCTGAGGAAGAGGTTCAGCGGAGCGGCCAGCACCCCCCCCCCCCCCCCCCCCCGAAACGTCTACAGATCTCACCCGCGTACATTTTCTACTGAAAAACTCTGAACCAGCCAGCGTGGCTCAGCGGTTGAGCTTTGACCTATGAACCAAGAGGTCATGGTTTGATTCCCAGTCAGGCAGGGCACATGCCCAGGTTGCGGTCTTGACCCCCAGTGTGGGGCGTGCAGGAGGCAACTGATCAATGATTCGCTATCATCATTGATGTTTCTATCTCATTCTCTCCCTCGCTGACATAAATAAAAATATATTAAGAAAACCCAAAAACTTCTGTACAGTTCTGGCTGGGTTTCTCAGGGGTTAGTGTACTGACCGCAGACCGAAGGGTTGGATTCCGGTCAAGGGTGCATGCCTCGGTTGCAGGCTTGCTCCCTGACCTGGCTGGGTGTGTGCGGGAGGGAAGCAATCAATGTGTCTCTCTCACACTGATGTTTCTGTCTGACTCTCCCCTCCCACTCTCTCTGAAGATCAGTGGGAAATGTATCCTTGGGTGAGGATTAAAAAAAATACTCTGTACAGATAGACATTAAAACAGATCCAAGACAACAGCTCTGTGCCCTCCTGCAGTCCCCTTCTAGAAAGTCCCTTAGTCCCGAGAACTGGGGAGCTTGTGGTACTCAATTCACATTGTGTAAAAAGCAGGAAGATGAAGCCAACAATTCATTGCTCATTGCTCATCTTTCATTTTCTCTAAACCTCATGATCCTGTAAGGATGATTGCTCCCTTTGGCATGTAAGAAATGGGGGCTCCGAAGTTAACTATGTCACCCCAAGCCACCCAGCAAGGACCTAAAGACAATTTTGATGTTTCAAAGGTATAATGGTATCTACCCGTCTGCACGACTCATTCAGCCTCCGGAGTTTAAAGGAAGACACGTGTGAGCTCCAGGAAGCCGGGCCGTCCTGGCGGGTTAAACCCGCCGCCTCTCTGGGCGCCGAGGGAAGCCGGCTGTGGCCCTGCCGGGCCCGGGCTCAGCTCCTGGCGGCCCTGAGCTTCCGGCGGAAGTACTCGGGGGCGGCCTCGTACAGCCACTCGGCGTCCACCACGCAGAGGTCGCGCATGTAGCACTTGTTGGTGTGCAGCAGCTCGGTGTACACCACGCAGGCCGGCTTGCAGTGGAAGAGGACGGACGAGGGGTGGATGGCCACGGGCTGGTGCGTGTCCGTGGTGGCGTAGGTGCCGTCCGGCTGCAGCTCGGCGGTGCTCATGAAGAGGCTGTGAGCCAGGCAGCGGCGGACCGTCTCCATGTCTCCCCGGGACGATGCGATGGGCATGGACATCTGTTTCAGGAGGAAGGGAGATTGGAGAAGACCCCGCACGTACACTGCTCAGCGCTGCAGAGCGTTTGGAACGCCTGCCCCTAACACGCAGCCCACCCGGCAACCCTAACGGCCTGGAAGTTGCCATTTGTTAACAAATGCAGAAAGTTTCAAAGTCTCCCATATATCACTGTTTTCTGCATTGTATCAACTTGTAAAAATTATGCACTACTTATGCAATCTGAAAATAAATATATTCCTACTAAAAAATCTTACCATGGGTTCTAATAACATTGGAAAATACTTTTGCAGTTTATAGAAGTTGAATATAAATTATACATACAATGTAACTAAGTATACAAAAAACATTTAACAGGACTATGAGGAAACAGAACAAAACGGTAAGAGATGGAATTGTGGAAAATTTTTACTTTCTTTCTTATTTAAAACCTAGAGGTCCGGTGCCCGAAATTTGTGCAGGGGAGGGGTGGTGGTCCCTCAGCCCAGCCTGCACCCTTTCCAAACTGGGACATCCCTCTCACAATCCAGGACTGCTGGTTCTCAACTGCTTTCCTGCCTACCTTCCTGCCTTCCTGATTGCCCCAACTGCTTCTGCCTGCCAGCCTGATTGATGTCTAACTGCTCCCCTGCCAGCCTGTTTGCCCCCAACTTCCCTCCTCTGCCGGCCTGGCCACCCCTAACTGCCCTCCTTTGCAGGCTTGATGAACCCCAACTGTCCTCCCTTGCAGGCCTGGTGCCTCCCAACTGCCCTCCCCTGCTGGCCATCTTGTGGTGACCATCTTGTGTCCACATGGGGGCAGCTATCTTGATCTTGTGTGTTGGAGTGATGGTCAATCTGCATATTACTCTTTTATTAGATAGGATAGAGGCCTAGTGCATGGGTGGGGGCCGGCTGGTTTGCCCTGAAAGGTGTCCCAGATCAGGGTGGGGGTTCCCTTGGCGCATGGGATGGCCTGGGCAAGGAATCTATGGTGGTTTGCAGGCCAGCTACACCCCCCAGCGGCTCAAGCAGAGGCCCTGGTATCTGGAATTTATTTACCTTCTACAATTGAAACTTTTTTTTTCAATGACACATGAAGACAGTCAGTGGCGATGTCTACCACAGCACATGGGCACTTCCTGTGCTCAACCATAGGAGAGGCTCACAAAACTACCCCCACCTCCGAGCCTGAGTGGAGCCAAGCCTTCTGCTTGCTCCATGGCTGCCACCATTTCTGTTTAGATTTGTTAACCTTCTATAATTGAAACTTTGTAGCCTTGAGTGGAAGTCTAGGCCGGCTAGGGCAGGTGGAAAGCTTGGCTTCTTCCATTGGCAGAGAAACCCAAACCTCTCTGTGGCTGCAGCCATCTTGGTTGGGGTTGATTTGCATACTCGCTCTGATTGGGTGGTGGGGATGGCTTGTGGGTATAGTGGAGTTATACTTAATTTGCATATTATTCTTTTATTAGGTAGGATTTTCATACAATAAGAGTTTCTTTTGTAATCACTAGCTATAAGCAATTAAAATTTGTTTTTACCTAGAAAAAAGTGAAAGCTTAGTCCCTCAAAGAACAAATAGGAAGAAAGAATACCTTTACACAGATATCCCTCAGCTGGGCTCTGACTTCAGCTACTAGCATCATATTCTTGCTGTTGACAAAATTCTCTTTGCACCAATCCTGAACAGGAGAAAAAGAGATATCTTAATCCTCTCATTTCTATAATGAAAATAATATAATTTTTAGAAAATAGTTGAATTTAGAGGGAAAACGTTAGCTGCCCAAAATATAGAAAAATATCTTTATATCAAAAAGCATAAACCATAAAAAATATTAATTAAAACAAAAGTAAAACAAAAAAATTATTTTATGTCAAGTCACTATGAAAAATGCTACAGACTGAGATGTTTGCATCACTACACCCAATAAAGGTAAGTATCTCTAGAATATATTAAAAAACAAACAGCCCTAGTTGGTTTGGCTCAGTGGATAGAGCATCAGCCTGCGGACTGAAGGGTCTCAGGTTCAATTCCAGTCAAGGGCACGTGCCAGGGGTGTGGTCTCGATCCCCAGTAGGGGGTGTGCAGGAGGCAGTCAATCAATGATTCTGTCTCATCAATGATGTTTCTCTCTCTTCCTCTCTGAAATAAATAAAAATATATTAAAGACAAAAAACCAACAGCCCTGGCCAGTTGCTCAGTGGTTAGAGCACTGGCCCAGGGATATAGGGTCCCGGTTCAATTTCTGGTCAAGAGCATGTACCTTGATTGCAAGTTTAATCACTGGCCCTGGTTTGTTGCACATGTAGGAGGTAACCAATCGATGTGTCTCTCTCACATGGATGTTTTTAAAAACAAACAAACAAACAAACAAACAAACAAACAAACAAACAATGTAGCCCCAGGCCAGGCAGTGCAGTGGTCAGAGCGTTGTCCCGACATGCCAAGGTTATGGGTTTGATCCCTGGTCAGAGCACATACCGTACAAAAATCAACCCACGAATGCATAAATGAGTGAAACAAACTGATGTTGCTCTCTAAAATCACTAAATAAAAACATTTTTTAAAAAAAGAACCTCCTATAAATCAGTAAGAGAAAGACCAACAGTCCAGTAGAAAACAGACTAAGGCTATGGACAGATAACTCAGTTTTAACAGAAATGACTAGTAACCAATAAACTTATAAAGGATTCTCAGTCTCATGAGGAATCAAGACAAAGTAACTGAAACAGCTGAGATACTATTTCTAATCCATCAACTTGGTAAAAATGAGCATTTTAACTAAGCATTGGAGATGATGGTGGAGAAGGAAGCTCGTACGTCACTAGGGGGAGTTAGAGGGGCTGGCAGCTTTGGGGAGCCGTGTGCTCGCCTGGGAAAGCTGGGTCAGCTGCCAAGACCAGCAAGTGCACTTCTGAGTGTGGAGCCCAGAGAAACATCCTCCTGTACAGAGGGTCACAGCAGTGCTGCTCGTGGAAACAAGCTCAAATATCTGCAGCATCTCATGTTCAGATGTGAAGTGAGGGTATGCTGCCATCCATGGAGCACACGCCACCCTCAGGACACAGGGCTCCTAGGCAGGAGGGACCAGGGATGGGAGAGTGCAGGCCTCTGCTGCATAAAATCCACAGCGTTGTATGTCCTTAAACATGAATTGAGACAAACAGAGCAAAATGTTCACAACTGCTAAAAGTGGGCGCTTTTTTTTTTTTTTTTTTAAAGAAATTACTGCATTGAAATGCAGAGCAAATTAAGCATGAACACCAAGGCACAATCACTGATTTTACTGATAAATAAAACAATATATTGCCGTTTTCCATCTTAGTCTGAAGAACTGAAATATCATACAAGCAAAAACTACTATGGAGAAAGTCAGGGGCAGGTGGGGAAAACCCATTTTGTAGGCTATGAAACTGGTTACTAACTACTGAACTAATTTGTCCACATTAAATACGAGTTAAACACAGTGGAGCAAAAGGCAGAAATCGCCTTTCTTCCCTGGATCTGTCCCTGTGCAAGATCTTTCTGAAATGATATCAGACCTTCTTTTTGTGGCTCTTTAGATAAAGCTTCAGCGAAGAAAGGGAGGACGACATTCCCAGAAAGAGGCAGCACGGGAGAAGAGGAACGAGCGAAGCGCACCTTGTTCCCGCCCAGGTTTTTGAAGGTCCGGTAGATGTTGAGCAGGGTGACGTGGTCGCCCTCGCTGGATATGAACTTCTTCCGGACGGCCTGCACTTCATCCCGCCGGGAGGGCGGGTTGTGGAGGACGCTGTCCACGGACAGCAGGGAGACGATGGTCAGGATCTCCTCCGTGCAGTGGAACTTGGGGGACAGGAGGATGGTCTGCAAGTCAACATTAAAAACTGTGTTAACCAGAATTCTTCCCGGCTCTGAACACAGTATTCCCGTATATTTTCAAGTTCCCCTTCTAAGGTGTTAAAGGGCAGGCGTTTCTAAAACCATGACTGTGTGTTAATGTTACTTGACTTGTTTGTAGAACAAATGAGTGTCTTTCCTGAAGGATTCCACATTCCTTGTGGGTAGGGCTCTTGATTTAAAATGAGTTCTAAGCCGAAACCGGTTTAGCTCAATGGTAGAGCCTCTGTCTGCGGACTGAAAGGTCCCAGGTTCGATTCCAGTCAAGGGCATGTATATTGGTTGCCGGCACATCCCCGGTAGGAGGTGTGCAAGAGGCAGCTGGTCGATGTTTCTCTCTCATCGACATTTCTAGCTATCTCTCTCCCTTCCTCTCTGTAAAAAATCAATAAAAAATAAATAAAATAAAATAAAATAAAATGAGTTCTAAGCCCATGTAGAATCTAAGTTAGTGTTAGACACAAGTAGGAGTGGACAATTATTTAGGAGAAAAGTGAAGGTTAATCTAGAAGCACTAGATTCAGAAGTCTACTTTGGGATGGCTAACCTGTAATTACAGAAAGAGGGCTGAAGAGAGGGCATCATTTACTTTGGCAAATTTGGGCTCTAAGGGAAATGCTGCCATCTTCCTTCCGAGCGGAGTCAGGGTGAGCTGCTCATCCTTGCGTTCAAGGGCACCTAACAGCTCCAGCTGGGCGATGGCCGCCTGAATGTGATCTGAAAAACAGACACAGAAAAGGAGCCAAAGACCCAAAAAGGAAGTTGCAACTAGTGATAACTTCACAACTATCGATATCACACCACAGCAGAGATCACATCACCTCTGGACACAGGACACACTGTCAAAGCTGTTAACGCCACCACTTCTTCAGTTCAATTCCCTTTTAGTTATTTTATTTTTTTTTTGTTAATCCTCACCCAAGGACATTTTCCCATTGCTTTGTAGAGAAAGTGGGAGGGAGGGTAGAGACAGACAGAAACATCAACGTGAGAGACACACATCCCACGCTGCTTCCCGCACACAGCCAGGGATCGACCAGACTAAACCAAAGGAGATGTTTCTAAAATACTTTTTTGAGAGTCCATTTGCTGTCATTTGACTACTTGTAATCTTCCACTCCACTGAAGGTCCACTCACCTGGAGACGGTTTGGACATGAAGTCGAAGGTGAGCACGTTGGGGACTTTCATGGCCAGGAGCTGCAGCATCACGCTCGCCAGGTTACACCTGTGCAGAGAGAGACGTGCGTTGTTCACTCCCCCTAACCCTCCAGCCGGCCAGTCAGAACCACCCCTGAGGCCTCAGTGAGGACTGCGGCTCCGGGGAGCCTGAGCAAGCAGGGAGGGAGGTGTGGGGCGGATGGAGGGGCACAGGCATCTCGGCCCACCTTTGGATCTCTGGCACGGTCATCTTCTCAAACTTCTCAAACTCATCCTCTGTGTAGAGCCGGTAGCAGACGCCGCTGTCCTCTCTGCCGGCGCGTCCGGTGCGTTGCCACGCCTGCGTCTTTGACACCCGCTGCACAGCCAGCACCTCCAGGCCACTGTCTGGAGGGAGAGTGGCCACATCAGTGTCTGCCCCTCCTTCACATAAACTGCGTCTACAGTGCGGACAAAGGAGCACTCCTCAGAGCGCCAGTGACCCTTTCTGCACTCCCGGGTCAGGAAAACTCAAGGCTAAAGCAGAAAGCACAAAACCAGGCTCTTCTGCAGTGAAACGAGGCCTGGTACTGGACTCTGTGAAATCTGTTATTAAAACATCAGAAAGCCTGGCCGGCGTGGCTCAATGGTGGACCTATGAACCAGGAGGTCCTGGTTTGATTCCCAATCAGGGCACATGCCTGGGTTGTGGGCTCTATCCCTAGTGTGGGGCATGGAAGAGGCAGCCGATCTATGATTCTCTCTCATCACTGATGTTTCTATCTCTCTTTCCTTCTCCCTTCCTCTCTGAAATCAGTAAAAATACACTAAAATAAAAAAATCAGAAAAACTTCATGTTTATAGCAGGGGGACAGAAAAGTAAATTTCAGAGGTCTGGCTTAGATCATATGGTTAACAACCACCCCATCTGGCCTGGAACCTGGGACTTTCAGTGACAAAATGAGGACAGTCTCTGGCAAACGAGGACAGTTGTCACCTTATCAATCAATGACTCAGGCCCTGGATACTGTATCCTCCCTCCCACCTCTGTATTAAGAGAGACATGCATGTTACTGCAGAAGTAAATGACAGATTTCCTTCATAAAGCTACACTATCCTAGGCACTGAGAACCGAGCCCTGTGGCATGCTTTCTGAGACACACAAGTGAAAGGCAGCACTCAGTGAATTTCAATTAAATATCCGGGAGTGGTAATTTCAGCTGCCGCCAATCCTCTGTAGAATAAAGCAAGGTATACAACAGACACGAAGAAAAATGACTGAAGGAACTCCCCACTGAGCATACATTTCAAGAATAGCTAGTGCCTTACCCAGCCTAGGGAATTCTGGGAATCCTGGAACTGACCCCGCCAAGCTCAAAGTTCCGATGAGAGCCTGTGATGTGGTGTCAGGCTCTCGCTGGCTCTCATGCCATCACCACCCACCTTCTGACAGAGTCTCAGACACCTCTCCCCAAGTTTGTGAAACCTCGCCTCCTCTTTCTACCCTGCCTTCTCGTCTCACACACCTGTCTCAGGCCCACTTTCGGGACCTGCCCCTGCCCTCTCACTTTTGGGGCCTGCCACCCAAATCTCAGGTAGTTACAAACATGAAATGCTCATTGGGGGAATCTTGGGGGCCTCAGGAAGCTCAGTGGATGCTCACTACACACAGGAGAGACAGTCATCAGCTACAAGTTCTCACCAGGGTTATACTTCTTTGCTTTAACCATGCCCGTGTCAACTACATATTTTATTCCTGTAATGGTTATGGAGGTTTCAGCGATGTTGGTTGAAATGATCACTTTGCGGTAGCCCTAAAAGGAGGAAGAAAACCAGAAAGCCGTATGACACACATATGTTTTGGAAGTTTTAAGACAGTCCTCACCATTAATTTCCATAATTCACTCATGATCAAGAAAAGATGACTTTGTTACTAATGACAGTTAACCATGTTGACGGTGGGCCATTAAACTGGGTGAGTGAGAGGGGAGGAGATGTAGTGGCACAGGCACAAGATTCAGAAGCAGGTGAGTGTGGGCTGGAACCCTGGCGCTGCCAATTACCTTCTGTGTGCCCCTGGAGCAGTTACTTCCCTCCTCTGGGCCTCGGTGCTTATTAAATGGGATCATAACCCACCTTGCCAGTTCCCGAGAGGATGAGAGGCAGTGTGTGTAGCATGTCAGCACAGTGCCTGGCACAGCATGGGCGCCAACAAATGCTATTATGGACCAACGCGGCTTGTGTTGGACCATGGAGGACTCACTCATTTACCTTTCAGCTTTGCCTTTGCCCTCGCCCTCATCCCCTAACAACTGTTTCCCTGTTATATACATATATGTGTGTGTGTGTGTGTGTGTGTGTGTGTGTGTGTATATATATATATATATATATATATATATATATATATATATATATAGTTTTGTTTTTATAGAGAGGAAGGGAGAAGGTTAGAGAGTTAGAAACATCGATCAGCTGTCTCCTGCACACTCCCCAATGGGTATGTGCCTGCAACCAAGGTGCATGCCCTTGACCAGAATCGAACCTGGGACCCTTGAGTCTGCAGGCTGACACTCTATTCACTGAGCCAAACCAGCTAGGGCTGTTTTCCTGTTCTTACCTTGAGAGAGCTGAAGCTGTAGCTATGTGTTATATTCCTACAGCTTTTCAGCTATTGTCTCTGGAGCATCCAGCCCCATATACCTTATCTGGAGCCTGGTGACAGGCATACCTACAGACCCTCCGGAGGATCTGCGTGCGTCCCCAGGGATGGGGCTGGCAGAGGGGGGCACTCACTTTGGGCGCCGCCTGGAAGACGCGGAGCTGCTGGGCATAGGGCAGGGAGGCGTACAGAGGCAGGACCAGCATGGAGGGGCAGCCGTCCGGGAGGTGCTTTGCAATGTCGCGGCAGGTCTTGCTCATGGCTTCGATTTCCTCCTGGCCAGTGAGGAACACCAGGATGTCCTGCGAGGAAGGGGCTTCCTGCACAAGAATGAGAGTGGGATCTTTAGGCTTTAACAGAAGCATTCCCCTTTTAAAGGGAAGAACGGCCAGTTTACAAGACACTTATCCACCTGAGCTTTGAAGTCTGTTCAGGTATACTTGTAAAGTACTTGATAAGATAACTGAAAAAATGTTTAATAACATGTGAGTATGTACATATTCATGTGGGTTATACATGTAATTTTTGCCCAGTGTTTTTAAAATATATTTTTATTGATTTCAGAGAGAGAAAGAGAAACATCAATGATAAGAGAATCATTGACTGGTTGCCTCCTGCATGCCCCCTGCTAGGAGTAGGGCCCCTAACCCAGGCATGTGCCCTGACCAGGAATCAAACCACGACATCCTGGTTCATAGATTGACACTCAACCTCTGAGCCACACTGGCCGGACTAACCAGTATTAACAGGACAAATGTTCAGAGGGACACACAGACAGGATAAAATCTAAAACAGTCAAAACTTCATCAGTGGGAAGACTCATCAAAGCCACACGTATCTGAATGCACCTGCAGCTGCCACTCATGTAAAAGCCTCACCTCAGATTGGCTTTTGGAACAAGGCAAACTGACCTTCTTCTCCAAATGCTATCAAGGTGGCAGTAAAGGTATAAGCCCAGAAAGACAAAACTCAATGGGACAAAAGAAAAGATGAGAAAGATGGAAGAGATGGGGGAGGGGAGCATGACTGGGCTGGGCAGAGGACCTCCCGGGCTGGGTGCCTGCTAAAGGGAATAGTGACAAGAGATGCACCCATTTCCCCAGGGAAGCCAGAGAGGCTCAGGACTTGGATGCAACACAGAGGTGGGCTGTGGGAGCGAGGAAATCCGGGATCAGCTGAAAGTCTGAGTACAGTGTGGCTAACCTCCCCAGGTCTCCTCCTCTCCCTGATGCAGCAAGAGGCTGGGCAGACATGGGTGCTGTAATGGGGTTCAATAAGGGAAGACGACAAAGAGCCAGGATGGCAGCTACACAGAGGCCCAATTGAGCGGCATAAAGGACTCTGGGAAAAGTGGACTATGTTTAAACACTTAACAAATATTCATAATTGGCTTATGAGACTTTGGACCACTTGGGAAAAAATTAGCCATACATAGAAAACTTATACAACTGTGTGTACATGGAATGAGGCATTGAGATGGTGTATTGCTAGCAATGGAGGAACATAAAATTGTAAATATGACGCTGCATCTAAAACACACTGCGGGACTGTCAGCCATGGCATCTTCTCTCTCCAGATGAGGTGGGATTATCTTCTCAACTGCTTGAACTGGACAGAATTTTTACCTTTCATTTGCAAAAACTAAGGTTTAAGAACAAATATAAACTTTACATGTCCACACAGTTTGTAAGTGGCAGAGCAAGTAATAAAATTTAGATCTAACTTAAAATAAATAAATAGTGATATAACTATGTTAAGAGGATGAAGGAGAGAAGCAAGAGGTAGAGAAGGGATTTTTCTAAATCCTCATCTACCGTGGTAAAAAATTAACAATATCAGTAAGTCAACAAATAGCAATATAAGCAGGTTATTTTAGAAATATGAAAGTAATATTCAGGGGAAACAGCTGAAAAATTAAAAGTGGTTACTCTTAAGTGCAGGATCTGGGATGGGGGAGTAAAAGTAGTAGTTTTTTTGTGAGTCTTTTAAAATTAACTACTTAAGTCTTTAACTTCAAACTGCACACACATCACTTCAAAAAATTAATTTGAGAAAGTCTGCCTCTAGATTTTTTTCAGGAAGCAAATGGGAAGGTAAAAACAGTCAATTTTATACACATTAAACAAATAAAAATGAGATGATTGTTTAATACAATGAGAAGAGATTTGAAATGTTTCTCTAACGAAGTTTTTTTTTTTTTTTTTTTTAAACTCTAAAGTAGGTTAATATCAACATTTTCTTAATATGAGGCAGAAAATACCATAAAGCATCACATGCAACAAAGGAGGCAGTGTGAGAAAAGATACTGGTCAGAGTTAAATTATTTTTAGAGAAAATAAGACAGAGAGAGAGAGAGAGAGAGAGAGAGAGAGAGAGAGAGAGAAAGGGAATAGTAAATAAATTCCTGACTCATCTTTTTTTAAAATTTTTTTATATGATTTGAGAGAGAGAGAAGGGAGAGAGGAACATCAATTTGTTGTCCCCCATATTTATGCATTCATTGGTTGCTCCTTGTATATGCCCTGACTTGAGGGGTCAAACCTGAAACCTTGGCAAATCAGGATGATACTCTAACCAACTCAGCTGCCTGGCCAGGGCCAAATTCCTGATTCATCTTAACGACATGCTCACCAAGTCGTTTCATTCAGCATCCGAGGCTGAATGCCCTATCCACTGAGAGGGAAACCAGACCTTTCAGGACTCGGCCGCCACCCCATACCTGGTGAATCTGGAAGACGGAGACAAGGGCGGCGTGCAAGTAATCCTGCTGAGGCTGTTTGGTGTAAAAGATCTGGATCGGATGCTGCCGACCCTCCAGGTAGAGGACAGGAGCGCCATTGAAATACTGAGAGAACAGGTCCACATCCATCGTAGCTGACATAACGATCACCTGGGGGCGAGATGGAAGAGGAAGATGGAAACAAACGTGGCGACAGCCTTTCTTTGTCCCTCCCAAGTGTAAAAGCAGACATGAAACCCGTCACTCCCCCGGCGGTGAACTCGGTCCCGGTTCTGAAGCAGACGGGCAAAGGCGAACGCGGGGGAAGAAGTGCGGCCTCCTCCGAGAGCGCGCTGCACCTACTTTGAGAGGCAGCTTCCCCAGCTCCTTCCGCCTCTTCTGGGCAGCTTTCACCACGCCGAAGAGCACGTCAGTGTGGATGGTCCGCTCGTGGGCTTCGTCCAAGATGACACAGCTGTACTTCCGGAGCAAGGAGTCCGAAATCGCTTCCCGCAGAAGCATGCCATCTGTCAGGAACTTGATCCTGGTGTCTTCCGAGGTGACATCATCGAAGCGCACTGTATAGCCAACCTGTGCAGAGAGGTCATTCATTCACCAAACGCACACTGGCCGCCCGCTAGGTAACCAGCACTGGGCCAGGCACTTGTGCTTCCACAGCGAACAAGACCAACGCTGACCTGCCCTGCTCCCCCGGCCGCAGGCAGCCTGGCAGCTGACACGGACAGTGGACATGTACCTTTAACTGCAATTATAATTAGCACTAGAGGCCCGGTGCATGAAAATTCGTGCTCTGCAGGGGGGTCCCTCAGCCGGGCCTGCCCCCTCTCACAGTCTGGGAGCCCTCAGGGGCGAGAGGCAACCTGGCGATCAGGGGAAGGCAATGCCCCATCACACCTCTGCTGCTGCCACCGAGCCACACCAGTGGCTGAGCATTGACCTATGAACCAATTGTAGGTTTGATCCCTGATCCCCAGCGTGAGGCGTGCAGGAGGTAGTTGATCAATGATTCTCTTTCTCTCTCCCTCTCTGAAATCAAGAAAAATAATTAAAAAATTTTAAAAAGTCTTGTTCAGAAAAATAAAAGGCAGGGGAGGGAGAAAATTTTGTAAAGAAGCAAATTAGGTACCAGCTTCCCGAGTTCAGTTCTCTTCTCATCTGAGACTCTAGTAGCAAGAGAGATGGCTGCCACTCGCCGAGGCTGGGTCACAGCAATGATGCCCTGCCGGCCAACGCCTCCTTCATAGAGGTACTGAGGGAGCTGAGTGGTCTTCCCAGAGCCGGTTTCCCCTGGAAAAAAAGTCTCATTAAATGCAAATTGAAACAAATTTCACCAACCACATGTATCAATGTCGGAAGAGAAAGATAAAAGGTAATATTCCCGGTCAGGGCACATGCCCAGGTTGCAGGCTCCCTCCTCAGTGTGGGACATGCAGGAGGCAGCCGATCAATGATTCTCTCACATAATTGATGTTCCTATCTCTCTCTCCCTCTCCTTTCCTCTCTGAAATCAATAAAAATAATTTTTTAAAAAATACTCTAGCCGAAACCAGTTTGGCTCAGTGGATAGAGAGTTGGTCTGCGGACTGAAGGCTCCCAGGTTCGATTCTGGTCAAGGGTTTGTACATTGGTTGCAGGCACATCCCTGGTGGAGGGTGTGCAGGAGGCAGCTGGTCAATGTTTCTCTCTCATCGATGTTTCTAGCTCTCTATCTCTCTCCCTTCCTCTCTGTAAAAAATCAATAAAATATATATATTTTAAAAATACTCTAAATTCTGATAAAGTCACAGGAAACTGGGTACTCACAAATACTGGAATTGCTTCTCAGAAGGCCACATTATATCAGAAAAATCTTTAAAAAGTTTATACCCTTTGACCCAAAACTCTACTTACAGGAACTGATTCTGAGGAAAAATTAAAGATGTACATAAAACTATGGCTTCAAAGATGTTCTATTCAACTTTGTTCACGAAAGCAAAAAAACTGGAATATAAATGTTCAACAAATAGCATAGTGAAACACAAAATGAAATACAACTATAATATAAAAATGTACTTCTCAAAAGAGTAAGTGAAACGTATATATTCTGACAGGTAGGGACATGCACTCATATACGGCAGCCGTGACAGACGCCTCACCGTTCGCTCGGGCTGCCTTTGTCCGCACTATCAGGAACTGCCTGCTCTCAGGACGCCTGCCTGGCACACGCCACAGGATGAGCCAGACCCAACTCGCTCCCCTGGGGCCGCACTGGCAGCCTCTGCTATGCTCCGTAGCTCCTTGTTCATCTCTTTTTCAGCAGACCAACCTGCACTGTCTGCAAGTTTTTTGTGTGTTTTTTTTAAATAATGTCCGTATCAGCATCTCTCTTTTAAAAAAAAAAATATTTTTACAGAGAGGAGGAGAGAGAGCTAGAAACGTCGATGAGAGAGAAACACCGACCAGCTGCCTCTTGCACACCCCCTACTGGGGATATGTCCTGACCGGAATCGAACCTGGGACCTTTCAGTCCGCAAACAGACGTTCTATCACTGAGCCAAACCGGTTTCGGCTGTCTGCAAGTTTAAATGTTTCTACCTCCCCTGTCCCCAGAAGCTTCAGGAGGGTAGAGAATGTTCGCCTGTCTCTTCCATGTACGTAAGCATCCTGCATGCAGTAAGCTTTTAATGTCACTTTTTCCCTTGTGGTTCCTACTTAGAACAAAGAACTCCGTCAATCCGTGCATCTTTCCTCTCTTTGCAACAACTCTCTAACCCTCACATTTCTAGAGTCCCATTATTGTCCCATTTTCTCCCCTGGCCTCCCCATGCTTCCTGATCTATGATCTAGCAAAGATCATGGACTAAGAATGTGATCATTCTGCAATCCTGCTGAACCCATCAGGCAAAACCTCAAACTTGGATTCATGTCTCCCTGTCCATCTCTTGTGCTCCTGCACCGAGCATTGAAAAGCAAAATAACCCAACTGTGCAGACGGAGCCCTGAGTTTGCAGTCGGCCAAATGCACCTGGACACCAGCACTATCACTGACCCTTTTCTTAAATATATTTCTTCATTGATTTCAGAGAGGAAGGGAGGAGAGAGAGAGAGAAACATCAATGATGAGAGAGAATTGTTGATCGGCTGCCTCCTGCATGCCCCCTACTGGAGATCAAGCCCACAATCCAGGCATGTGTCCACAGGCTGATGCTCTATTCACCGAGCCAAGCCGACTAGGGCTCGATCCTTTTCTTGTTTTTGCATCCTGTCCTCGGTCCTCATCCTCCCGAAGGGCCCACTCAAGGCCCTGAGACTCCCATTCTCAGCAGAGTTCCTGTGCCTATTTCATAGAAATAGAAACCTCAAAGGTGACCTCCCTCTCCTCCCCCTGGAAGCTTTTCTGTAGTCACACCCATGCTCACCTCCTTTCTCCAGCCCGAAGCCTCTCGGACATCTTTCACTGTATTGAAGGCCAATTCTGCTTCTAGCTCCTGTTGTCAAATGCCCACTCCCCTCCCCATGACCCCCGGGGCCCAGCTCTGTTAGTACCGGCTTTCCATCTTCAGCCTCCCTCTCTCTGAGTTCTTCTGCTCAGCCTATTAACACAGACTTGCAAGTTCCTCTCAGCCCCTCTTTTTTCCTCAAAAGAGAGGCCAGTTCCCATTGCCTTCATTCCCTCACCTCCTACTTACTCCTTAGTGCAATGACAAATCAGCTCCTACCACACAACTTGTCTGAAATAGCGTGCAGTGGGTCCACAATCAATACAAATCCAGGGAGCATATTATTGGACCTCATTGCTGCATCTGTTCCTGCCTCTCCTCTTTGTTAATCATCATCCAAGATATATATCTCCTGTGATTTTTAGAGAGTGGAAGGGAGGGGAAAGACAGAGACAGAAACATCTAGTTGAGAGACGCATGGATAGTTGCCTCCCGCAGGCGCCCCTGGTGGGGATCCAGCCTGCAACCGAGGTACATGCCCTTGACCAGAATCCAGCCCCCCAGACCCTTCAGTCCGCGGCCGATGCTGTTACCACAGAGCAAACCGGCCAGGGCTTCTTCCCGCTTCTTATCCCTCTATTCCTTTAACTATAGGTAGCCTCTTCTGGGTTTCCTTCCACTGTTTGGAGGCTCATCCTCTCGGTCCTTCAGAAGCTCCTTGGACTTAAACGTTGGGGATCAAAGCCCCTTGTAATCGGTCCCCAATTCACAACTCTGCCTTTCGTGCACAGGAAACTCCTACTCCCCGCCAGACCCACCGGACTGTTTCTCGCCTCCACTCGCCTCTCACGGAAGCTGTCCCCCTTTGGGGACCACCTCCCCCGAGTCTGGCTCAGATGCACCCTTCAAAGTGCCCAGAGTCCCCGGGGCCCCTCCACCCGCCCACTCGGAAGGTGACGGTCTTTGCCTAACAACTCGGTCACTCCCCCCGGGCCGTGAGCACCCCCGGGGCAGGGCTGTCAGACTCCCCCGAGGCCCCTCTCCCGGCCTGGCACCGAAAAGGCGGTTAAGTTTGTGCCGGAGACAAACCGAAGAGGGTGACAGGCACCGAAGAAAGCCTGTGCTCGCAGCGCCAGGAACGCAGAACAAGGAAGGACTTGGCCGCGCGGCCGCTCACCGATGAGGATGGCGCTGTCCAGGGTTCGGAGCTGGGCCAGCAGCTGCCCCCGCGCCTGGAAGATGGGCAGACTCCGGCGCTGCTGCTCCACGGCCTCGGGGTAAGGGCTGGCCGAGGGCTGGGCCAGGGGCGGCTGCCGCCGGCGGCTTCCTCCGCCGCCTCCTCCTCCGCCGCCGCCGCCGCCGCCGCCGCCGCCGCCCGCACTCAGCATTACCACTCGCCTCCCGTCGTGGCTCGGCGGCCCAAGGCCCGGCCGGAATCTCTTAGGCGGCGGGAAGCCCGCCTCCTCGGGCATGTCGGGAGGGCGCAGAGGCCAGAGGAGCGAGGGCCCGCAGCTCGGAGCTCCCGGGGCCAGCACGCGCCGCCCCTTCCAGCCACGTGCTAGCCACTCCCGGCTACCGAGGGAGACCGCACCGCCGCCTTTCGCCTTTAGGAAGGGGACTGCAACTCCCAGCATGCACTGGGAGCTTGGGAAGGCTTTCACTTCCTGGGGGCGAGGAGAGCGTCATCCGCGGTACAACAAGAAAAGGGTCCGGAGCGACCACAGCGAAAGACGGGGTGTAAGGTTCCTCGGGACCTTAACCTTCCCTGGCTAGTAAAGCGGTCTTCCAGCTTTATTGTACTGGCAATACTACCGTAATTCTAGTAAACATGCGTTTCCCCTTCTCCTCTCACAATAATACTCGCTTTTCAAGGAAAGTGCTTAATTTTATTTTTAATATATCTTATTGATTTTTTACAGAGAGGAAGAGAGAGGGATAGAGTCAGAAACATTGATGAGAGAGAACCATCGATCAGCTGCCTCTTGCACACCCTCTACTGGGGATGTGCCCGCCATTAATAGTTTGTATTATAATAATAGGCTGTCCTGACCTGAATCGAACCCGGGACCTTTCAGTCCGCAGGCTGGCGCTCTATCTACTGAGCCAAACCGGTTTCGGTGAAAGTGCTTAATTTAAAAAAAATCAACGAGGAATGCAAACATTTGCAATTACTTAATCCTCTAAGCAATGTAATACTATTAGTTCCCAATTTACAGACATGAAACTGAGCCTCTGAGATTAAAGTCATTCAGATGTAAAAGAAAAAAAAATCAGAATGTTGAAAAGGATACTCGTGATCATCTTCCGTTTCAGAAAAGGAAAGCATTATTTATTTTCTAGTAATTCTGTATTCTACTCATAAAATGATTATCCCAAATGGAGTGGCCTGTTCTTGTAATACAAGCAGGGAAAGAGGGAGTTTAATGAACTAAAATTGTATTTCCCCCTCCTTTCCTCCAACTATTCCTGCCAGACTTTGAAGTTCTCTACAGTGCTTGCCAACACCCATCACGCGAACACCAATCAATGAAGATTCAGAACTGCGGCAAGAGAAAGTAGTTTCCACTTGTCCATCACCTCCTAAATTCAAAGCTCTTAGACGATTTTCTAGTTCACACAGAAAGACTGGAAAGCAGTCCATTTGCTCTGCATACAGGAAATTACATAAAAAGAATTCATCATAAGCTTCAACCCACATGAAGGATTTCAGGCATCCTCTTAAGTTCATATCCATGACACTTATATTTGTAAACCTGTTAAAAATTCCCTTTTCCCCTTCCTCTAGTTCTGAGGCAATTTTCCTTTAGTTGTGACAGTATAGTGACCAGGGATTACTGAAAAAGTACATGTTGAACTAACAGCAAATATGTGTTTAAGAATTAACAAAATTTCACTTCTTGCCCTTAAAAACTTAGAAAGACAACCCAAAACTAAAAAAGAAGATAAAATACCAAATAGAACTGTTAGAACAAAATACCACAGACTAGCTAGTTTACAAATAGAAAATTATTGCTCAGTTCTGGAGGTTGGATTCCAAGATCAAGGTGCCAGATGGTTGCCTTTGGTTGAGGGCCCTCTCCCTGTTTCATTGCTGCTTCTTTCTTGTATCCTCGGGTGAAGGAAGGGGGTACGGATCTCTAGAGCTTTTACATAAGGCATTATCTCATTAATGAAGAATCTACCTCACGATTTAAGTACCTCCCAAAGGCCCCCACCTCTTAATTCTATCACATTGGGGAATTAGGATTTCAACCTATGAATTTGGGGTGGAGGCACAAAGATTCAAACCATAACTAATAACTGAATGTTAACTCAAATTATGGACCTTGAGTATGTAAAAGACCTCGGTCCTTTTTCCCAGTGTGCTTTCCCGAGTAAGCTAATGAAGGAGATATGTGCTCCACATGATTACGAGTCTAGGTAAGTAATATGCATGAGTAAAATAATCTCTTCATAGAGGACATTCCCTGACACTAGCGACCTCTGGACAACAGCTGCCATGCAGGCTGGGTATTGCCAGACCTTCCGTTCTTTTCAAGGAAAGTAAAAAAATGAGTATTTTCATGTGAACTCTGTCCATTTTATTTTTAATATGTTTTTTATCGCCCTAGCCATTTCGCTCAGTGATTAGAGCATTGGCCCAGGGACTGAAGGGTTCCAGGTTCAATCTGGGTAAAGGGCACATACTTTGGTTGCAGGCTCGATCCCTGTCCCTAAGCAGGCTGTGTGGGAGGCAACCAATAGATGGGTCTCTCTCACATCAATGCTTCTATTTCTGTCTCTTCCCCCTCCCTTCCACTCTCTCTAAAAATCAATGAAAAATAACCTTGGGTGGCGATTTAAAAATAAGAGAAATGTAAAATGTATTTATATGAGAGAGAAGATGATCAAGGGAGAGAAACATCGATCAGCTGCCCCATACTGGAAATCAAGCCCGCAACCTGGGCATATGAACTGTGACCAGCTGATTCATAGGTCAATGCTCAACCACTAAGCCACACTGGCTGGGCCATTAACCTCTCTTTAATTAAAAATACCAAATAATAGTCTGCTGATAAATAAACCAAGTATTTATTTAGCACCCATGTGCCAAGCACTCTGCCAGGCACTGGGGTGGATACAAAAATTTAAGACATGGTCCCTGCCCTTAAGGAGCTTACATTCTCATGAGGGTGACAAAACATGTACCAGCTAGAAACAACACAACAAATATATATAATTTTGTGTAAGAGTCTATCGTAGACTTGAAGCTTACAGGAATTCAAAGAAGAAAGACAATGAAATGGGACTTAGAGACAAAATTTCTTGAGGAGTCGGGAATTGGTCAGGCCTTGAAGGACTGACCAAACTAAACTGTTAGGTCCAAGTAGGAGTAAGATTCAGAGAAAGGCAAGAGGTATGCATTTGATATGGGGGCTAAGAAGTCACTGTGGATTTATGAGCAGAGAAATGACTTGACCATAAAAAGCTCACCAGCTTTCATGCGAATTCATATAATATGCAAATAGCTTAGGGGACATCCTATAGGACACTGGAAACAATGGCATTTTTTGACTACAACACAGATGGCACTAATCTGTCAAAGGAAAACACAGCCGCAACAATAAAAATGCAGGCAAGCAAGGATGGATGACAATTCTACGAAGCCCTTTATGCAACATGCCAATAGCTCCAATATTTCCTAATTCCCATAGACACCAGGGACAGAGTGAAGCTTCATCACCAGAATCCACCACTTGGGCGCTCTCTGCTTAGAACTACTACACAAGAGGTTATGAAAGATATTAGAGCATATAAGAGTGATATAGAAAAAGAACAAGTGGAAGAGGGAAATGTAAATCCATAGTAAAAAAAACAAAACAAAACAAAACCCCAAACCAAAACGTATATAAAACGTTTAAAATGTTACCTCCTAAGGAGATGCAATTTGTATGCCCATTTAAAACACACAAACACACACACATCCCACAAACATATATTGTATTTCTACAACAAAAATAAAACTATGCCTTAGGCAGGTGTGCTTATCAGTATTAATGGTTGAATTCAAGAATCCTTTAAATTATGTTAGATAAATTGGTCACAAAATTCCATACCCTGAATCTCATTTTTCAGTTGATTTGCATTATAAAAAAGGATGTTCTGGAAGAATCAAGACAGACAAGTCGGAGAAGAGGTGAAGACTTTTCCTTATGTTCAGGTAAGCGTAGGTAACCTGTTTATAACATAGGGCTAGGGATAGTGGTGGTGGGACTGGCCAGACTGGTAAGAGGCCAGTGATTGAAGTGACCATTGCCACAGCGGAATTCTGCCACTGGGAATTCTCATACTACAGAGAAATAAAAATCCCCTAACTGACTGCGTGTAGGTCATCGATTCAAAATTGGTTTCCAGTTTTACCCAGTCATTAATATGTACAGACATTCTCTACTTAAATAAACTCAGTGAATAGATTTCAGGATTAAAAATTCACCACAAGAATCCCATAGATTGGATAACTGAAAGTTAACTAAGGGAGAATAAAACTAGAGAAACTCATTAAAAAAATAAACAATAAAAAAACCCCTTCTAATCCAATTCAAGCTTTCTTGAATAAAGACATAACTTAAAAGTCCCATAATGATTCTGCATTCCAAGATTGGCATTTAAATATTTTTTTTTAAACCACGCAGGAAAAAAAGCAGTCCCATAATCTACATTCTATAAAATTGCATCATATTCAGTTACCGACTAGCAGCATTAAAATATTTAAATTCCATTCCTTATGCACATTCCGTTTAGACGTTAAAATACTATTCACTTCAAAATCTGAAAATTCCCATTTATAATGTTTACATTTAATCTGAAACGTCATCTTTGAGGAAAATCTTACACTCTAGAAAGCTACCACTTAACCAGTCTGCAACTACTTGGAAAAGGTCCTGTGTCTACGTGTTTATTAAAACTATTCTGAAATAATCTCTTTTCTTGGGATGCTCTTTTAGTTCTCAGGGTTCCCTGAATTATTTGGGCATGTGATACAAACCTGCTGAGACCTTGGAAGTATTTTGGATATTTACTGAACCCTAGGCATGAAGTTCCTATTTCTGTGGAACCTCATTTCTACTTGGTTTGGAAGATAAACCAGGCTCTGAAAAGCTTCTTAGCTTTTCATGAAGCAAATAGCAAATGTTAACTAGCCAAAGGCCCAGGAGAAATACATTCCTGTCTAGCTGGTACCTTGTTCATCTGGCTCCGAAGTTAACATTGTAACTTGATGTCCCTGTCTCAAGATCCTTCTGAGGCTTTACAAAGGTGGCAACGAGCCTTTCCCTGGATTTCTTAATGGAGAAATGCAGAATAAATAAGATGCTATATTAAGTTTCTGCCTATAACTGAACTGTCCAGTATCTGAATTTTTGCTGTTATAAGAACCATCCAACTGCCCTGGCCAGTGTGGCTCAGTTGGTTAGAGTATCATCCTATGCATTGAAAGGCTGAGGGTTCAATCCCTGTAGGGGTGTATACTGGAGGCAACTAATGCATGTCTCTCTCTCCCATCCATGTTCCCCTCTCTCTCTAATCAATGAAAATATCCTTAGGTGAGGATTTAAACAAAAACAAAAACAAAAAGGAACCACCCTAATCTAAATCATCTGACAACTTGAAGTTTTGCAAAACCCCAATGAGAACAAACTGTCTGCACAACATAAACAAATGTTCCTACTGGAGCTGCCATTCTGAATTACTGAGATGATTATACAGCCACATATTATCAGCTGCATATTTCCAATCTTGAAATGAAATCCAGTCGACAGCTGTGGAGACACACGAAGAGTGGGCATGTGAACTGCTCTGAGCTCAGACCTACGCAGGAGAGTGCCGGAATACAATCTCATCATGTAAAAGATCACACACAAAAGCTTTAATGAGTGAGAGAGAGATGGAATTCCGTTTTATTTTGTCCTCTCTGAAACTTCCATTTTCACCATGGCCTCGTCTATCAAAGAGGAGGAGGAAAGAGCTCTGCCTTTCACCACAGAACTCAAGCACGCGTGTACTTGTTCGACAGAGGCGGCAGGGTATGTTTCTCCAGTTTTTGGCTCTGAGAGATTACACTTACAGTGCCAGTGCAGTGAGGAACCACCGGCAAACTGCTGGAAATGTCTTCTGGATTAATCAGTGTACCATTTCATAAAGTGCTTCTGGAGTTAAAATCTGTCAAGCTGTCAAAAGTGTCCACACTTTTGCCACACAAAGGATAAAAGAATCCCAATGGGTGTGTCTTGAGTCCTTCCCGGCTGGATCTCATCGTTGGCACTGCTGCTTTACCCGCCGAGGCGCTGGCCCTCACCCCAGGCGAAGCCTCCTGGTCGCTCTTCAGGTAGTGGATTGTAATTTGGATCCTCATCTGGTGTATCAAAAATAGCTTTCCTAAAAAACAGAAACCGATATAACTTAGTGCCAGAATCATCTCAGGTCCTAAATGCCGCGAGGTTGAAAAGATCCCATGAGGTTGCAACCAATGGACTAGCATTACATCTGCCCAATGAATTTATGTATTTTTAAAGGTATTCACAATTATTTCATATTTATGTTAGCTTTTACCTCCTTTACTAATTTTAAGAGAGAAAGAGGAAGGGAGATGGAGAGAGAAATACATTGGTTGCCTCCTCTATGCATCCTGGCAAGGATTGAACCCGAAACCTGGATATGTACGCTGACCAGGAATAAAACCAGCAATCTTTCTATGCATGGAATGATGCTCAACCAACTGAGCCACATTGGCCAGGGCCTCCTTCACTAAAAGAAAAAAAAAAGTTTGTTTTTTTGTTTTGTTAATCCTCACTAGAGGGTATTTTTCCATTGATGTTCTAGAGATTGGGGGGGAGGGAGAGAAGAGAGAGTGGGAAGAGAGGGGGGGGGGCATCGATGTGAGATACTTAGATTGGCTGCCTCCAGAACATACCAGGGATCGAACCTGCAACCCAGGTATGTGCCATTGACCAGGAATTGGACCCTTTGGTGCACTGGCTGATGCTCCAACCATTGAGATACGAAGGGCAGGGCTCCTTTACTAATTTAATTTTTAAAAAATTAAATTTTTTTCTTTTTACTAAATTTTTAAAATATAGTCAAAGATGAGAAAGGATTATTGATTGGCTACCTCTGCATGTCCCCTACTGGGGATTGAGCCTGTAACCTGAGCATGTGCTGTAACCTCCCAGTTCATAGGTCTACACTCAACCACTGAGCCACACAGGCCAGGCTCCTTTACTAATTTTTAATACAAAAGCAATACATGTAAATTATAGAGAAAACAGGAAATGTATTATGTTATATTAATACCAGGTATATTGTGTAGCTGTCACAATTTCGTAGAACGTTTATGATGGAAGAACAATTATGACACATTACTTTAAAAAGATTATAAAAAGCATTTTTAAAAAGTACATAGACAGCTCAGTGGATAGATCGTCGGCATACAAACAGAAGAGTCCCGGGTTCAATTCTGGTCAAGGGCATGTACCTTGGTTGCAGGCACATCCCCAATAGGAGGTGTGCAGGAGGCAGCTGATCGATGTTTCTCTCTCATCGATGTTTCTAACTCTCTATCCTTCTCTCTTCCTCTCTGTAAAAAAATCAATAAAATATATATTTTTAAAAAAGTACACAGACAATAAAAGACTGAAGAACTCATAAAAAGTTAACAATGTTATATCTAAGAGGTGGGATTATTGAAGATTTTGCTTTCTTTGTTTTGTTTAACTATTCCAATAACCAACATTTTATAATATAAAAACTTACATTTCATTCCTCCAGTGAACTCTTTAATACAATATATCTCAAGGACACAAAATTCTGGAGTAGAAAGAGGTCTTATGAAAGCTCTATTTCCAGGAATAATGCAGTGCAAAAACAAAGGGCCGCCGAAACCAGTTTGGCTCAGTGGTAGAGCGTTGGTCTGCGGACTGAAAGGTCCCAGGTTCGATTCCGGTCAAGGGAATGTACATTGGTTGCAGGCACATCCCTGGTAGGGGGTGTGCTAGAGGCAGCTGGTCAATGTTTCTCTCTCACCGACGTTTTTAGTTCTCTATCCCTCTCTCCTCCTCTCTGTAAAAAAAAATCAATAAAATATATTTAAAAAATACAAAACGAAGGGCCTTGCTTAAAATCACATGGCTGGTTGGTGGAATGGACTACACTCAAAGCTATTTCCACTCTACTGCTTATCTCTACCACTGTTTGTGTTTTTTTATTTTAAAGATTTTAAAATTATTGACTTTTAGAGGGAGAGAGGAACATCAATGTGAGAAACACTGATCAGCTGTCCCGTGCATGCTCCCTACCAGGGATTGAGCCTGCAACCTGGGCACATACCCTGCCTGATAACTGAACCCAACTGAGCCACACCGGCCGGGATACTACCACCTGTTTGGAAGGCCAGAAATTCCACCATTAAAAACTCTCCTCTAGAAGGTTTCCCCATTCTGCTCTCACCTCTGTATAAACTCAGCAGCTTTCATAAACCCACAGGCTCCTCTCTGGAGCAGGAGGTGCTAGTGGTCATCCTGGACAGCAGTTAACAAGTCAGCCTCGGGACACCCTGAGCCTGTGAGCCTCCCTCCCACCAGCAGGCACTGTTTGCTCCTCCCACATAAACGCTCCTCAACGGCCCTCAATCTGTAAATATTTACCGACCTGAACATTGATCATGGGCCCTGTCCCAGTTTACCTGCAACAAAACACGTAATCTAGTGTTAAATACTCACAAAATAGATGGCGTTTTCAGAATTCTTATTCCACCAGGCTGATTGGGAAATACATCTTCCAAGAAAAAATATATGTGTCCGACTGCAATACCTAAAGTCAACCACAAATAAGGGAGGAGAGAGAGGATTAAAATTTTAATTGCAAGTGAATCTACCAACACAAATGCCTTTTAATTAGGAAGAAATATCAATATAGTAAGAATTAGAAAACTAATATTATAATCTTGGAGAATGTAACTATCAAATAATCCCACAATAGCTATTATATGAAGGACAAACATGAAAAAATAGTGACAAACTAAGCTTATAAGTAACATAATAGAAAAGTAGTGATAAGACTCTTACCCAAGAGGTCCACAATGATTGAGTTCCCCAACAACAAGGAAAAGCCCATGAGCACCCAGGGTAGAAAGGGGGCCTGGAAGTTGAGAAGGCCGAAGAAGTTCATGCGGACATAAGGATTCCTTCGGCTCCACACGTAGACAAGCATTATCGTAAAGGCCTGGCCCAAAAAAACTAAGCTCACAAACAAACCAAAAATCTACAGATGGCATTAAGGAAAATACCAACATTAACAATATAACAGGGAAGACTGGGCAAAAGAACTAAGGGTGGTGTTCTAACAAAAGTCTGAATTAGGAAAGCTAAGCATGAGTTACTTACATCTTTAGAAGAAAAAGGCCTGAAAATAATTCCCCAGAGCAATCAGGCAGAAACCTGCTTAGGCCAAATTATTTCAGAGTGTTATTCTGCTTTCATGAAGTTTCTGCCTTTTTGGAAAAATGTGTTAATTATTTGGTCAATAATTGAATTAAAGTTCACTCACCATTAGCATCTTTACAGAAGGTGAATACAGCCAGTTGCAGCAAAACCATCTTGTCAGATGGACTACATTCAAGTGTGTTATATGGTTGACAATTTTTTTTATTTTAAATAATTTACCAGTTTTGTTAGTAACCAAATAAATGTCTTACAAACTTTAATTAAAAGTGAAGCACACTATGAACATTTTGTAAACACATTTTGAATAATTATAAAGGCAGTTTTATTAAAATACATTTTACTTTCAAAACTGAAAATGCTGTTAAAGTGTATGTATACATTTTTTTTTGAATAGATTTATACATGTACATATACATATCACATCTTCTTTATCCATTTATCCACTAACAGACAGTAACCCACCTTGGTTAGAAGTTCCTCTGATGTGCTCATAGTAGAAAAGCATCCTGTCTAACCTGCAGGCTTAGAGACTGGCACATAAAGTGTGCTGTAAAATAAATAGTAGTTCCCTAAAGCTAGAATCTGGAGGTCTCTGTTCAGAATATCTAGTGAATTGTGGGAGACTGATAAAAAACTTTAGGAAGAGAGAGGTTGGTACATTTTCCTATGTTTGTTCTATTTGTTGAAGGATACAGTCATTAAAAATCCACCAAAAAGGAACATAAATACAAAGTCTGCTGTCCGACCTCGGAAAGAGCCTTCTTCTAGCATTCGACAGTAACGGTATCTTAAGTTTCAGGTTAAGAAAATGTTAAGCACACAAACATGAAGAAAGTAAAATTTAATGTATCACATAAGAATACTTGGACTCCACATTATTTATAAGTCAAGCCTTTTTTTTCCTGTAAGAATGTTTCTAAGTGGTAGTATGGTTACTTCTCTCTACATTTTTTGCAACTTCGTATTTTATAAAAACCATTCCTAATTGGGGAATCCAGCCAGATGCTGGATAAACATGCTCCTAGTCACCTATTAAGCCTTTTCAAATCTGTATCATCTTTTCCATGTCCAGCCACACCAGAGTCTGCGTCACCCTTGCTTTTGTACACCTCACTTGGAAGAAATCCGCATCAAGAAGCCTTGAGTGGTAATCTGCTTCAGGCTGGTAGAGTACTTCTATACCTCAGTCAATGAAGTTGCATTTAAAAATATATACATATTTTATTGATTTTTTACAGAGAGAAAGGGAGAAGGATAGAGAGTTAGAAACATCGATGAGAATAAAAACATCGATCAGCTGTCTCCTGCACACTCCCTACTGGGGATGTATGGGCAACCAAGGTACATGCCCTTGATTAGAATCGAACCTGGGACCCTTCAGTTCGCAGGCCGACGCTCTGTCCACTGAATCAAACCTGTCAGGGCTGAAGTTGCATTTTGATGAAAAAATTTAATTATCAGAAACTTACTAGAATATAGGAGACACAGGAATCCATCCTAGGGCAGGAATCCTGTCACCCCCTACATGGCTCTCAGTGTACTGCAGTGAGGTGAGCTGTAACTGCCCTCTTTTCAGAGGGTCAGGGTGGAGGAGGAAGATCTGCTCAGTGGCCCCAATGACCATACGACCAGAGCACTCTTCCGGTGTCTCAAAAAACCGGAACACGGCAAGCCTGGCAGATATTATGGCTCTGTCTTTCAGCCAGTAGAACCAGCAACTACAATACAAGATCTCAAGTTGCCATTCTTCAGGAGCCCACTCCCAGACCTGTATCAAAGCTCTGTCAATTATCCCTATATTCAGCTTGTGTTTTACTATTTGGTAACTGCTGATGTTACTTTATAAGCATGCATCAACCAAATCACTCCTCCCCCCTTATCATATTTGCAAGAGATTTAGAGGCAGAAATGTATGGTTAAACTAGAAACCTGATGCACGAAATTTGTGCCAGAGTAAGCCTTCCTCCCCCCGGCTGCTGGCACTGTCTTCCCTCCAGCACCCGGACCCGAGCTTCCCTCCGGCTGTTGGCAGGCACCTGGGACCCGGGCTTCCCTGGCAGGGGTAAGGAATTAGCATATTACGCTTTTATTATTATAGATACCTCCCTTTTGACCCAGCAGTGACCTACAAACACCCTCAAAACATTACTATCTGACCAACTACTCTGCACCATTGAGCCAGTACCTAGAAGTTACAGCTAAAATGTTAACAAAGCCCTAGCTGGTTTGGCTCAGCGGATAGAACATCGGCCTGTGAACTGAAGAGTCCCGGGTTTGATTCGGTGTCAATGGCATTTGTCCAGGTTGCAGGCTTGATCCCCAGGAGGGGGTGTGCAGGAGGCAGCCAATCAATGATTATCTCTTATCACTGATGTTTCTATTTCTCTCTCTCTCTCTCTTCCTCTCTTAAACGAATAAAAGTATATTAAAAGAAATAAAATGGTAACAAAAATAACAGGATAAGTGAACCTAAAGTTTTTATGTTAATCCCACTTAATAAAGGATACAGAAATATCATGTTAAATAAAAAATTGAATCCAACAGGCCCAAAAAATAAAAAATTGGTGATTAGCCTCCATATCTGTTAAAAGAAAAAAAATCAAGAGAGAGGTAGATTAAGTAAAATACACCAAGAAACGCTTCCATATTAAGACAAAAGAGATATCCTCTGACTATGATGGTTGAAAGGCCATGGCTAGGTGATACGATGTTCTGAACCAAAAAGTGGGGCACAAAATCTGACACTGGATTTTGAAAGTCTGAATGATGTCACTCAACTCCTGAAATCTGTAACGATAATAGGACAGAAATCTTGAAATTGTGATTGTCTTTAAAGAACAAAACAACATAAAAAGCCCACACCTGCGCACCTCCCTCTGGGGAGCACACCTGCTCCTGAGCCTTTCCTGCTCCCTCTTCCCCCCAGGCACCTGGTACCTTTGTCTTTCTCTCTCCTAAGCTCCAACAGTCCTTTTCTTTTGCTTCTGTAACTTGTTTCCTGAACCTACACAGCCCAGCTGGCTCACTTCTACTACCTCTGTAACTTTCTAAATAAACTCTCTTATAACTTGGGAGAAAAAAAAAAAAAAAAAAAGCCCACACCCCATGGTTAGGCAAATTATAGAAAAAGTTTGATGGAAAGACTAGGTTAATTTGCATAACAGAAAACAGTGCTTTCATATATTTAATATCACAATTTAATGAATAGTCTTGAGACACCAGAGAAAAACTCTAGGGATCTAATAGAAATTGCTAAAAAATGTTTCTATATTAAGTAGCCCAAAACATCCAGAGTAATTGTAAAGAAAATATTCAAATTCTAGTCTGAACTAATAGCTAACTCCTACCCTGGCCAGGTAGCTCAGTTGATTAGAGCATCGTCCCAATACGCCAAAATTTCGGGTTCGATATGTAGTCAGGACACATACAAGAAGCAACCAATGAATGCATTTAAAAAAAAAAAAAAAAAAGCCAACTTCCTACAAGTAAAGACCTAATGCTCTAATAACTAGAGTCTACTTGGTAGATATAAGGACACTCATGTTCTTGTTGGAAATTACTCTCTCCTACCCAACCCATGGAGCTCACGATCAAAACATCTTCTCACAAAGGTAGAGCACTTAACATTTTAAAGTAGTTTAACATATTCTAGCAGCTCATGTGATCTTAATCCTGTGTCCTCCATCCCTATTTCATAAATAAAGCCAAGAATACCATCCCTATTTCATAAATAAAACCAAGAACACATAAATTGTAAAGAGAGATTCTGAACCCAAACCTAGAACTTCTAACTCCTAATGCAGATTCACAGTAACAAGAGTTTAACTCCAGGCAAAGCCAAGCAATTAACTTGAAGAAGAAATACTTGGGTGGAGCTACAGCACTTCTTCATGAAGAAGACATGACAAGAGTCCACAGGGCTGTTTTAAGTATTATTAAACTCGTAAGAACTGGTTATTAATAAAGTTGAAACAATTCAGTCCTGCAGTACTAGACTTTAGAGCCCTCCATCTAGCCAGGACACAAGCACATAAACAAGTGCAAGTCTGAGATAAGAGAGAGCAAGCATTTACAAATACCCTAGGGAAACAAAAGAGATGGTCACAAAAAAGCTTCTCTTGAAAGGCAAGCTGGAGTTCAGTAGGTACAAAGTGAATGAAACACACTTGAAACAGAGCGACTAGCGTGTATAGAGGCAGAATTACTGGTTTTTGGCTATTCCAACTATAGCCTATAGCCTGTATGAACATCCTGCAGCAGGAAAAGACATCTCACCTTCAGCACTGTAATTACTGGAAAGGACTACCTGCCACTGCAATCTAACAAACTGGCATGTCGTTTAAGATGTCAATCTTTTGAGTTTTGTCAGTATGATCAGATCCCTGGAAGATGGATCACTTTAAACGCACTAATAGAGGAAGGAGCATTTGAGATCTTGCTCCCCACCCCCACAGTAGCATATTTTGTCAGTTTGGCTTAAACTCTTATAAAAGTTCAAAATAAAATAAAATAAAAGCACTAATAAAGTTGAGGGTCTTTCCCTCCTGAGGGCACGCCCACATTTTTCCCTTCCCCCATTTCGCCTCCAGGCACCTGTTACCTTTGCCCTTCCCTCTCCGAAGCTCCGAGGGTCCTTCTTTTGCTTCTGTAACTTGTTTCCTAAGCCTTCGCAATCCAGCTGGCTCACTTCTACTACCTCTGTAACTTCCTTATTTTTTTTTTTTTAAATTTTATTGATTTTTAACATTTATTTATTTACTTATTTATTTTAATCCTCAGCCAAGGATATGTTTAGGGAGAAGGAGAGAGGGAAGGGGGGGGGGGAAAGAAGGAGAAAGGGAGAGAGAGAGAAACATCAATGTGAGAGAGAAACATTGACTGGTTGCCTCCTGTGTACCACCTGACCCCCTACCTAGGTATGTGCCCTGAACGGGATTCAAACCTTCAACCTTCTGATGTACGAGATGATACTTCAAAACCAACTGTGCCACCTGGCCAAGGCTATTTATTAACTTTTAAAGAGAGAGAGAGAGAGAGAGAGAAACATAGACTTGTTGTTCCACTTATTTATGCATTCATTGGTTCTTCTTGTATTAGTATGTACCCTGACCAGAGATCAAACCTGCAACCTTGGTGTATCCAGACGACGCTCTAACCAACTGAGCTACCTGGCCAGAGCTTGTAACTTTCTAAATAAACTTTCTCTTACAAAGTGAAAATAAAATAATGAATAATAAAATGCACTGATAGAGCTGAGTTCCTGAACTGGACAATGGTGATAACATCAAGGTGGTGGGTGTGCCAGGCGGCAAATGCACAAAATAAGGGCATCTTGTGAGATTCTACCCTGGGCAGTTACTTAGTCTCTCAAATACAATATTAACTCTGAACTAGTGATTCCTAAATATAGGAACTGAGCACATCAAAGCAAAACCATGCAGGAACTTTAAAAAATCCACACAGATTCTTAATTCCTAACCTTGGTTATTCAGACTAAGTACATGATGAGGAGCTTGAGAATCTCTTAAACATTCCCCATTAGGCTGCAGAATCACTGTTTTTTACCTCCCACAAATAAGACTTATACTCAGATATCCCCACTGATTTCTCTGAATTATTTTCTGAGGTAGTATATAATAGTATTTAATTCTATTTTAATCCTATTTAATTCTATTAGTATTTAATTCTATTAAAAAGAAAGAAAAACAAGTTTAAAAAACTGAAACATGATTGTGACGGACCACTTACTTGGAAGTGTTTAAAGATTAATTCAGGATTGAAGTACAGCTGAAAAGGTGTGATCAATTCCAACTGCTGAAATAGAGAAAGAGCTACTTAAGCAAATTAAATCAAGAAGTAAAACTTCATCATCTACAATGAAGGCTTAAGTATGGCTAGCAATTTCCAACTCTCAGTCACTTAGACTGAATCCTTTAAAGCTAACGGGAGAGGCTGGTACACAATTCTCTAGAACTGGTGCAATTCTTTGTATCCTCAATACCCAACACAGAATAAAAGTTTGTTCTATATTGCAATATTTGAGGCTGGCCCGAAGGCATGGGATGCAGGTAGAGTTGTATGTCTTAGATATGGGGCAAGTAATGAGCAGCTTCTCCGAATCACAGTTGGGTGAAGCAACACTGCTCACTCAAAGGAAATGAGACTCGCCAGGCCCAGGCAGCTCAGTGGTTGAGTGATGACCTACGAACCAGGAGATCACAGTTAAGATTCCCAGTCAGGGCACATGCCCGGGTTGCGGCTTGATCCCCAGTGTGGGGTATACGGGAGGCTCAACGATTCTCTCATCATTGATGTTTCTCTCTTCCTTTCCCTTCCTCTTTGAAATGAATAAAAAATATATTTAAAAAAAAAGAAATAATACTCAAGATCCTGCTTCCAGACAACCTCTGTATTCACACTCTGTTTAAGACTCTTGCCTCTGGACAACTTCCAGCTTTCTATCCTCAATTTCTAAGTTTCTTCACAGGCGGACTTTCCCCCACTAGTCACCGCGGTACCACTTGGCCATTGGTGCCACTTGGCCAGCGCCAGGGTTCTCAGACACGTTTTCTGGGTGGGCGGCTCCCGCTGCCCTGACTTGCTACAGGTCCGGCCTTCATTTCTCAGAAACTGACCTGCAGTCCTGATCCCCCCCAACCCTCCTGCAGTAGCACTCCCTTCCCGGTCCCTGGCTGATCAATCTGAAACCAATTCCCAACCCCAGAGTTGAACCCTGTCCACCTCCACCCACCCTGAGACCAAACCACCTGGGCTTCCCGGAGGCCCAAACCCGTTTCCCCCAGGACCCGATTACATCCAGCCCGCATAAGGAGAAGCCGGCGCTGCATCTGCTCACCACGGCGGCCGTGGTGAGGACGCAGGCGGTGGTGTAGGCGCGGCTGACCGGTGGGATCTGCAGGTACTCCAGCCGGAGGCTCTGGTACGCCATCTTCCCCACCGCCGCCTGCGCCCGCCCCACTTCCCCTTCCGCCAGTCAGCCCGGCGACGGGGCGGGGCCAGAGGCCTCCGTGGCCCTGCCCTCTCCCATCCAATCGGCGCCGCGCAACCTGCCAACCACCAATCGCAGGAGCCCTGAGGAAAGCCATTCACCAATCAGGAGTTGCGTACCGGCGGCGACCCGGCCTGGCTTCCTCACCCGCCCACGTCGCTGAGGGGAGTGTCCGAACGGCTTCCTTCCGCCAATCCCCGCGGGCCACAGCTAGCTTGCCCGCCCCGCCCCTTTCAGTCACCGACTAAACAGCCAGCCAATCAGGAGCGCGACACCAGCCCGCCTTCGCTCCAGTTCGCTGGGGCGGGCATCATTCGGTGTTTTGGGGGAGCCACCGCCCTGCCGATCTCTGGTAGCTAGAGGTGCTTGAAAGGCCACGGTGGCGGGAAACCACAGTTCGGTCGGAATCGCCACCCTCATGGTCGCTTCGGTAAGTGCCGCGGGGCTGCCTTTTCTCACAGGAGGCGAGGGGAGGAGTGGACCTGGATGAGGCATCCCCGCGGGGCCTCAGAGCTGAAGGTCCCGGCATGCAGCGGGGTCGCGGGGCCCGACGGGAGCTGGTCCTCAGGCCGAAAGGCGTTCCTGCCAGGCTGTTCCTGCAACTCTCTGTCCACCCAGTTCCTTGAGGTATCCTGGGCACCTGGTGTGTTTACTCTGCAAATATTGATTAAGCCGTCTTCGTCCTGCCCTGAGGAACTCTAGGGCTAGCGGAGGAGAGGAGACAGGCCCGTGGAAACACCCTAAAGTACTAGTAGAACTCGGTCGGTGCCTGAAGAAAGGCCCTGATCGAGTTCAGAGGAGGGGGTGCGCCCCCAAGGAAGTGTATTTAAACTGACGCTTGAAGGAGATTTGGCCGCGGATCTTACCTTAAAGGAAAGACACCAAAGGGGGGAAATAGTTCGGTTTGGTTGGGAAGAGTAGTCAGATCCTGATAAACTAATAAGGAAGCGCTCAGAGTTTAGGAAAAGGGAATGGCCATCAAATCTGGTAGCAGGTAAGAAGGAACCACATTGAAGGGTGAAGAGAGTGGTTTTTACAGGCTTCTAATAGGTGGGAAAGGATATGAATGGTTATTCACAGGAGGAGAACCTCAAAATGCTAACGTGTATGAAGTAGTACCCAGTTTACTGGTAATCAGAGAAATGCACCAAAAATATTTTTGCCTGCTCCTGTCACCCTCGCAACCTGTTGATAAAAGAATGTTTCATGTATTGCTTGCCCTGGTAAGGAAGAACAGTGGGCCTTGAAAGAGCTTTGGCAGTGTCTCCTAGGGAAGAAAGGCAAGATCGGAATTTTTTTGAGAATTGCAAGTTTGGCTTAAGATGGACCTTTCCATTTGGGGGCTTGGTTAGGACTGGATGGAGTTCGTGAAATGACAGTACAGGATTGGCAGAAACAGCTGAGGCAAGGGTTTCAGAGAATCTTAGGTTCTGCTTGATGATGCTTCCCATTGAGGAGTTGACCACTTTTAGGGCAGTTCAAGCCCTAAACTTAGAACAATGAAATTAGAACCTAAATTAGAACAATGAAAATATACTGGTTTCCTAGAATAGTAAAGTCATGCTACGTGAATGAGAGTTGGAAAAATAGCATAAGAAGTTGTCAAAAAACAGGGCATTGGGGAGAGAAGTTGCAAATATCAAGAGCCAGGTGACTGAAAAAGTGAAGCTATTGAATCTCATGAAACCGTGTCTCTAGGGCTGGTTAGGTTATTTGTCTAAATTTGAATGTTGTCTAGGATGAGAACAGACTTCAGAAAATAGAACCACAGGCCAGAGTCCTCAATAAATGAAAGGTAAGGAAAATAAGGGTCTAAGGGAGGATGGATGGAAACAGCCTCAGAGAGGCAAGGGTTGGCATCCTATTGTGGTTGAGTGAGGCTGGAATTGGCTTGAGAGTATCAAGGAACACAAACTTTTCTATTTATAATGTGTTTTATTACTTTCTTCAGATGATTTAATCCAGTGGCATTTCTTTTACATTTGCAGATTTTTCACAATCAAAATTAACAGCAAAGTAAGTCAAGATGTCTGTCGATCCAATGACCTATGAGGCCCAGTTCTTTGGTTTCACACCACAAACTTGCATGCTCAGGATCTACATTGCATTTCAAGACTACCTGTTTGAAGTGATGCAGGCTGTTGAACAAGTTATTCTGAAGAAGCTGGAGGGCATCCCAAACTGTGAGATTAGCCCAGTCCAGGTTAGGAAGTGCACAGAGAAGTTTCTTTGCTTCATGAAAGGACGTTTTGATAAGCTTTTTGTCAAAATGGAGCAGCTGTTTCTACAGTGGATTTTGCGTATTCCCCCAAACATCTTGCTTCCGGAAGATAAATCTCAGGAGATGCATTCTTACAGTGAGGAAGAATTCCAGCTTCTCCAAAAAGAAATCGAACAGTTACAGGAGCAGTACAAAACTGAATTATGCACTAAGCAGGCCCTTCTTGCAGAATTAGAAGAGCAAAAAATTGTTCAGGCCAAACTTAAACAGACATTGGCTTTGTTTGATGAGCTTGAAAATGTTGGCAGAAATCATGGGACTAGTGATTTTAGGGACAGCTTGGTGTTCCTGGCCCAGAACTCCAGAAAACTCCAGGATATTAGAGAAAATGTGGAAAAAGAAAGCAAAAGATTGAAAATAACTTAATTTCTAAATAATAAAAGGAGCCAGTCAAAAGTAGGATGAAGAAGGGATGTATATCCATGACTATTATGTTCGCGAACTGTATATTTTGTTGGATTTCCTTTAAACTTTTTCTTGTATTCTACATTTTCCTCTTATTTGGTCCTTGTCCTCTTGTTCGGTCCACTCTCCTGAGGAATCTGTGTACTACTCGGAACTGATCTTTGAAGCATTTATTCCTTACAGGCTTCTAATAGATGGGAAAGGATTCTTAATCCATTAAATCCAATTTGGGGGCTTGATGAAGAAATCAAGCTTTTCTCGGCCAGTCAAAAGATATTTGTAAAAGGTGTACCTTGGTCATGAGTCCTTTGTAACCTTGATCCTTTGTGTTTACTTGAGACCAAATGACAAAAAGATTGAGTGGATGGCTTTTTTTTTTTTTTTAAATTTTATTGATTTCAGAGAGGAAGGGAGAGAGCTAGAAACATCAATGATGAGAGAGAATCATTGATCAGCTGCCTTCTGCATGTCTCCACTGGGGTGGAGTCTGAAACCTGGGCCTGTTCCCTGACTGGGAATTGACCCTTGACCTCCTGGTTCATAGGTCAACACTCAACCACTGAGCCACACAAGCCAGGCAAGTGGGTGGCTTCTTTATTAATCAGTCATTACACTGTGGGACAGCCAACATAGAATGCGTGTTCTTGCCCATAATTTTTCTTACACCAGGAAGTTGATACGTAGTTTAAGGAAGCAAGCAGCAGAAAAACAACCACGATCTTTAGTAAAGCAGAAAGAATTTTTTTTTTTTTTTCTAAAATAAATCCTTTCCATGACTAAGGCCTTGATGGTGTTAAATAATTTACTGTCTTGGAGCCCAGCAGTAGAAGACCTTGGACAAAAAAGAAGCATATCTCACTGAAATAGAAAAGGAAGCCTGGAATATACTCAATAGCAAAGTTTATGTTAACTGACTATTTGGTATTTATGTCATTTTTTGTTTGTTAGTTAATCCTCACCAAGGCTACTTTTCCATTGATTTTTAGAGAGTAGAAATGAGGGGGAAGAGACAGAAACATCTATGTGAGAGGGACACATCAATTAGTTGTCTCCACCAGGGCCAGGGATTGAGCCTACCACTGAGGTATGTGCCCTTGACTGGAATCGAACCTGGGACCTTTCAGTCTATGGGCTGACGCTCTATCCACTGAGCCATACTAGTCAGGGCATAGTTATGCCATTTTAAAATTCGTACTTCAGATAGTTTTGGAATTTTTCTTGTGCCTAATATTTAATTAACTTATCTATTCACACTCACAAGTATCAAATATTACCCTCAGCGGGAAATTTTAGTTGTGTCTTTTGCTTAAATTCAATGGAGACTGATATACTCTTTTGTAATTAATCCATGTAACATAAGTCTCACAAAAAAGGAAGATTTGGCAATAATTTCAAGGCATTGCTTGTGTTTTCCTAAAGAATAGGATTTGGAGTTTCTCCTTTATGTAGAAGAGTAACATAGGGTATTTGCAATTAAATATTTATAGATTTGTGAAGTCTGTGTTTACTTGGAATATATTTATTATCAAAGAGTTCTTTTCTCAATCCTATACATGAAATACAGGTGTTTTTAAAGGCTTTGATTTTTGATTTTCTGCTGTATGTAATGTCATGCTATGTTTCCTTCTTCAATATTACTTTTTACCCAAATGAAAAAAATTCCTTTCCCTCCCCCCCCCCCCCATTGTAGCTATTTAAAATCTCCTAGTATTGATTGGCTTGAATAGTGATTCCCCAAATGGTTTGTCCATGTATGTTGTTATTCCTGGAACCTGTGACTGTCATTTGGAAAATGATCTTTACAGGTATAATTAAGTTAAGGATCCAGAAATGATCATCCTCAATTATCTGGGGAGGTGGGTGTCTAAATCCAATGATAAGTATCTTTTAAAAAAAATATATATATATTTTATTGATTTTTTACAGAGAGGAAGGGAGAGGGATAGAGAGCTAGAAACATCGATGAGAGAGAAACATTGACCAGCTGCCTCTTGCACACCCCCCACCGGGGATGTGCCCGCAACCAATGTACATGCCCTTGACCAGAATTGAACCTGGGACTTTTCAGTCCGCAGGCTGATGCTCTATCCACTGAGTCAAACAGATTTCAGCGATAAGTATCTTTTATGAGAGAAAGGCAGTGAGAGATTTGAGACAGAGGTGGAAGCATTGTGACAGGCAGATTGGGGCGACACAGCCACAAGTCCAGGAATGCCAGCAGCCACCATAAGCTGGAAGAAGCAAAGGACAGATGCTCTCCAAGATCCTCCAGAGAGTGTGGCCCTTCTAACATGCTTACTTTGGGTTCTGGCCTCCAGAACAGAACGCATATCTTTTTTTTTTTTTCTTTTTAAAAAAAAATATATTTTATTGATTTTTTACAGAGAGGAAGGGAGAGAAATACAGAGTTAGAAACATCGATGAGAGAGAGTCATCGATCAGCTGCCTCTTGCACACCCCCTACTGGGGATATGCCCACAACCAAGGTACATACCCTTGACCGGAATCGAACCCAGGACCCTTCAGTCCCCAAGCCGACGCTCTATCCATTGAGCCAAACCGGTCCCGGCACAGAACGCATATCTTGTTTTAAGTCACTATGTTTGTTATGATAGCAACTGAAAATTAATATACTTAGTAAATTTAGAATATTAAGATATGCATAAGGATGCAGACTATAATTAAGGAAACAAGGGCTGAGACCTAATTGGCCTTCTTAATCAGGATAACAAACTCTTGGTTACTCACTCTGTTTCATTCATCTCCCATCCAGCATCAGTCTCAACCAATTTCCTGCTTCCTTCTACATTGGATCCTATGATGTTGCAATATCAAACCTTCAATTTCCCTAAATGCCTGCTCCCAAGCTTTTCCTTGTATTTATTTCTTTATTCTCCCTTAAGATATGCCTGATCCCAAGTATATATCACCAAATAGACTTCCCTCCTACTGTTGCTGCAGTGACAGCCAGTTCAGGAGACAGTTTGGCATGGTATTAATGGAAAGAGAGTGGCCATTACTATCAATCTTAAAGAAATCAAAAGAATTATAAGGAAATACCGTACTATGCAAGAGGTTCTGTTACTCAATTCTGATGAGGGTTTTCCCCACACCACCAAATAATTTTATAGGGCACCACCTGGATATCCTATAATTCAACTCAATCTGACACTACCCAGATAGCATCAGATTACATAGGTTAAGGGCTCAGCCCTACAAAGACTGCCCTTCAAATGCCAATGACAAGCCTAGGTCAGTGGTCAGCAAACTCATTAGTCAATAGTCAAATATCAACCGTACAACGATTGACATTTCTCTTGAGAGACAAATTTTTTAAACTTCTTCTAACGCCACTTCTTCAAAATAGAATCTCCCAGGCCACGGTATTTTGTGGAAGAGCCACACTCCAGGGGCCAAAGAGCTGCATGTGGCTCACGAGCCGCAGTTTGCTGACCACTGGCCTAGGTTGTTACCTGTGCTGACTGGCTATAACTCAGAGGTTCCAATGACCCCCTCCTTGGATTTCATTACCTTGCAAGAATGGTCACAAATTCAGGAATCTTTATTCGTTAGATTATCACTTTATTACAGAGAATATATGATCCAGTGGCCAGGTGAAAGATACATAGGGTGGGGTTTCAAAGGAGCATGTATCCCCGTGGAGTTCTGGTTACCCAACATAGAAGCCTTCCAAACTCTCCTTTTGGGTTTTTGAGGAGGCTTTGTTACATAAATCATTGGACTGCGGGTAATGAGAATATAAGCTGTGACAAGATAAAGTACATTTAAGTTTATTCAGACGCTTTCACTTAATATTCAAGCGCGGGAAAATAGCCCGCCACACGGGGGAGTTCTGGCTCAAAATAGCAGGTCAGCGAGGCTGTTCCTCTAGAGCAGAGGCGGGGAACCTTTTTGATTTTTATAACATTATATGTAGCCATATGAAATTATTAGCCTGCTATATTTGGTCAAACATTTAATTAACTCACCCCTAATGCCTTGATGGGGCCAGATCTAGTGATTTTGAAGGCGATAAAAGGGTCAGACATTCCCTTCCCACCTCCCACTCCCTCTACTCCCACCTGAATAGATAAATCACATTTTGTTTTTCCATTCACCATTTGATGAACATTTAAGTTGTTTTAAATTTGGGGCTACTGCGAATAATCCTGCTATGGACTTCCATGAGCAAGTCTCAGTGTGGACATATGTTTTTACTTTGGTTGGGTGGAAACCTGGGAATGGGATTCCTGGGTTATAGGGTCTGTGTACATTTAACTGTTTATATAACTACCCAACTGTTTTCCAAAGTAGCTGCACCATTTTACATTCCCAACAACAGTGTGTGAGGAGCCGGAACCGGTTTGGCTCAGTGGATAGAGCGTCGGCCTGGAAGATCCCAGGTTTGATTCCTGTTAAGGGCATGTACCTTGATTGCAGGCACATCCCCCCGGTGGGGGCCGTGCAGATGGTCAATGTTTCTCTCTCATCGATGTTTCCAGCTCTCTATCTCTCTCCCTTCCTCTCTGTAAAAAATCAATAAAATATATTTAAAAAAAAAAACAAAGCACAACAGTCTATGAGGATTCTAAATTTTTTAAAAAATATGTTTTTTAAAATTAATTAATTAATTAATTAATTTGAGAGAAGAAGGGAGAGGGATTGAAAGATATAAACATCAATGAGAGACATTGATGGGCTGCCTCCTACATGCCTCCTGGGCATGTGTCCTGACCAGAATTGAACTGGGTACTTATTGGTTCAAGGATCGATGCTCAACCACACCAGCAGGGCAAGGGTTACACATTTTGTACCTCTTAGCCAATTAGAAGCTCGTGTAGCTGGAGTTGCTAAGCTGTGAGAATGTGAGCCTGCTGATACTGCTATCAGAGAATTGCACGGTGGAATTTCTCCATTGCTAATGGAAGTGGGGTTCCTATGACATCTTGAGAAAAAGTTTT